CGACTTGTTTTCCTGAGCTGGAAACCAGCAGCGCCCAGAAAAAAAGAGTCCGAGCGCTTTTATAGGAAATTGCGCAGCAGGCGGCCAGAGAATTTTGTCCCCTCCGCTCCCCGTCTCTTCAGTCGCGGGGCGAGCGCTGCGTCGGCTAGCGTGCTCGCTCAGCCCGCGCAGCCGCAGAGCCGAGGGGTGGGCGGGGCCGGCGGTTGGCGGCGGTTGGCGCGAGGAAGCCGCGGCACGTGCGGGGCGGGGGCGATGCGTCACTGACCGGTGAGGCGCGGCGGAGGGGTGGGCCTGCCCTCGGCCTCAGCGGGGGGGACCCCCTCCTGAGCACCTTGTGCCGCGGGCGCGGCCATTGGGAGACGGGGTGTCACGACGCTCCCTGAGCAGGGGCGGCCCGCGGGCCGTTTCGCGCGGGCTGGGGTGGGTGAGCGGGTTCTGCCTGGAGGAATGAATGAGGGGAAAGGGGGCACCAGACTTCCCGGCGCGGCGGGCGGCAGGGAGCCGGTTGTGCGGACGGGATATAGGCCTCTCTCTCACGGGGCTGGGGGGTTCCTTCCTTATTCAGGAGCAACAGGATGAATATGACTCAAGTCCGGGCTCTGGTGGCTGCAGTGGTGGGCGTGGTGGTCGCCGTGCTCTATGCCTCCATCCACAAGATCGAGGAAGGACACCTGGCGGTGTACTACAGGTGAGCGGCGTGCGCGTCCGCTCCGGGGGGGGGGGGGGGGGGGGGGGGGGGGGAGCGGCTCCCGCCGGCGAGGCTCCCTCTGCAGCGTCAGGGAAGCCCTCTCTAGCTCTCGGCGGTGACTTTCGTCCTGGCTCTTGGGGGCCGAGGCTCTTAGGCTTTTGCAGAGCATCATCCTGCAGGTGCTGGGCAATGTTAGTGCAGAGGTCGAGTCCCTATGTATTTCTTGTATTATAGCTCAATTTTTTGTAGGAAAAAAGTGAATGAAGAAAGGCAGTGGCCACACCATCGGTAACTGAAGAGATGGGTAAATTGTTGTATTCCATACACCGGTGTTTCCCAAACGTTTGACATATGTCTACCCCTTCTGTAATTTTCGTAAAGCTGAGTACCCCCACGTACTCATGAGAACGTAGAATTAGGCGCAGCTAAGCACGGTGCAGTGCATATCCCCGCCAAACTCCGGTGCAACGCGTACCCCCCACCAAACTCTTCCCGTACCCCTGGGGGTACGCGTACCACACTTTGGGAAGCACTACCATACACCTGTACAGACTTTGGGCTTGAACTTTACATGCTGTTTAGAAAGGCTGGCCCTATTAGTGATGGTCCTTTACATCCTCTCTTCTCCCCCCCCCCCCCCCTAAAATCACCTAGTGTCTGGTTTTGGCCTATAAATGACAGTTGTTATATCCCTGGAGCTCAGCATTGATGGACCACTCTCCTCCCACCTTATTACCCTTGCTTTCAGGTTGAGGAAAGGAATGGTATGGGGTGTGTTGCTCTCTAGTTGGGCTCCAGTAGCTTTCCTTCAGCGTGGTACCACCAGTTTTTGTGTGTGTGTTTTTTAGCCTAGATACAGAGGATAATCTGGAGAAATTGCAGTAATGATTTGAAAGGGCTTCAACTTAAACTTTTTTACTTGTTTCCATCATCCCCCCAAAAGTGATATTTCTACTTTTAAATCCATCCTAAATCTTAGAAACAGTTTTACCTGTGAAACACGAGTTTCAAATGCAATTTCAGTGATAAATCTTAGCAGATGAATAACAGGTTAGTTCATAATTCCATCTAGTGCAGCATTGTCTTCCTGGTAAAAAATCTAGGAAAGAGCTTTTCAAGGTGTAGGTCTCAAAGAATTAGGGATATACCTCAAACAGTTCATATTTTCTTAGTTGTTATTAATCCTTTGTATATCTATATTTTCAAATAGGAAGCTAAGTTCTATGAAGTTATTCTTCACTGTGTACAAAAGGTCTTTTTAATATTTATCCCTCAAGTGCCTTTTTTTAAAAAGAAAATAATTTTCAAGATATGCTGTCATAGTTCACACATTCCAGAATTTGGTGAACAAGTCCAGAGTTATATTCTCTCTACTTTTAATCTTATTCCCTCACACTTTATCTTGCCATGCTACTTTTTTTCTGTGTTTTTAAAAATAAACTTTATGCACCCAGTATTTTCATTGCCTTATTATATAGGTAGATTAAAAGAATCTTGAACCTCTGAAATTTTCTCCTTGAAAGTTTGTATTCTTTTTTAACCTGGTGATTAAATGTATTATGTTTTGAACTGGTTAGTGAATGTATTATGCACAATCAAAATATAGCAACTGAGCGCCATTAGAATTCTTTTTACAAGTCTTTTTCAGACAGTTAAAAACCATCGAAAATCCTTTGTACCTATGAGCAGTGCTGGAAACCCAGAGGTATAGTTGGTTCATCTTATGAAACAAGGTGTAACATCAGCAGTTTAATGTGATTTTTTTTTTCACCTTAGCTGTGGCAGATATTTTAGGGACGAGCAGTTGTTTATTATGTATAATTCATATTAGTGAGGCTTTAATAGGTCAGTAGCATGAGTAAGAGTAAATACCTATTACAGCATTTTAGATTTGGAAAGAGAATTTCTCTCTTTATAATTTTGTCAATTTGAAACATCTTTGCAGGGGAGGAGCTTTACTAACTACCCCCAGTGGACCGGGCTACCACATTATGTTGCCTTTCATTACTACGTTCAGATCTGTACAGGTAAGTGGTTTCTAAGGAAGCCCCTATACTGGATGAACAAGTGTGACAGGAACAGATGTGGATGGAGATAGATTTCCTTATTGCTTAATCAGATGGTGCTATTTACTTAAGTGCAGGAGTTAAAGTACAGAGTACAGTTGTCACAGTACAGGTGTCACAGTACAGTTTGTGCTTTTGAACCACCTCACTCTGTTGAAGTATGTTGGAAGTAAGAGCTATGCAACTTGGAAGAACTGACTTCTCACATCTATATAGGGGTATGCAGCAGGTTTTCTGTTGCTGCTGTCAAAATATAATAAAAGCAGGTCTTCCACGCACAACTAGAAAAACAAACCAGTGATTACTGGTTTGAACAGTGTTTGGTTTCCATAGAGGCAAGCTCCTAGACTACTGTTAAGACAGAGGATCTGAATTTTTATACACAGCTTTTCTGCCTCACATTTTTTGCCTGGGGACATTAAGCACAATTTTATGTGGAACCCTAAGGAATGTTTTATTTTAATAGTATTTCAGAATATTTGAAGTAGCATCTTATCATTGAGAACAGTGTCTTGATCGTGGGAAATATTAGTAAAATATCTTTTGAAATCTATATATATAAAAGCCTAAACAACCGAATGGACCAAACGATCAAACCATTGGTCAACCGGTCACTATGATGCACACTGACCACCAGTGGACAGATGCTCAATGCACAGAATTGGTCTCCCTCCTGTCTGGATCAGGCCTACAGGATTGGGCCGAAACCGGCTATCCGACATCCCTCTAGGGGTCCTGGATTGCAAGATGGCGCAGGCCAGGCTGAGGGACCCCACTGGTGCACGAAACTGTGCACCTGGCCATTAGTAAGATCATAAAATAGGATTAGATTGTGACTGTTTTATCAGTATGATTATAAATCTATGGATTGTCTACTATCTGCTAATTTTTTAAGACTGAGGAAAATGTAATATAGTTAATCATGGAATTTAAATCTAGTCTTCTTGATAAGTGAGAGTTTCATTATAAATACTTAAATCCTCCAGGTTTCCTTCCAAGTTGTTTTTCAATGGCATAGGGCAAGAATTTGTATCTGTTGAAGTGAAATGTGTTCTTCCTTTACCTGGATTGATTTCCATATTTTCTCTTATTTTATTCACACTTGCCTTGGTTCATGCCATCACCTCTTCTCTCATCTTTCCCTTCATTTCTTCTCTCCTGTCTAAATCTTGCCAGACTTAAGGCTTATCGCAAATCCCTCTTTTAATCTATAGCTCTGAATGTCTGTACTATAAATTTTGGTCCTTGATCTTATTTCTTTTAATACTACTGTCTTGTTTGTTCTCTAAGTTTTTGTGTGTATTTTCCTTCCAGAAAATCTCCAAGCTTCTTGAAGGCAGGGATTGTAACCCATTTATATTTCTGACCTTTCTACTTGTGAAAATTGTTAAATTGAGCAGGTGGGTGTAGTAAACACATGGGGTCAGAAACCTGGAGACTTCAGTTCTGGCTCTAAAACCAATTAATTATATGACTTTGCAAAAATCACTTCACTACTATAGAGTTCAGTTATTCCTCCGTGAAAGAAGGAGTTTTAATTACATGACCTCACCAATAGCCCAAATGGTTTGTAATAATGTTATCAATGGCAGCATCACACTCTTAAAGATTAGGGGATTTTGTTAGATCTGTTCAAAGCCAGGCAAATCTATCTCTGCCTTCTTGGAGCTTAGTATGTTGAGTTATACTGATGCAGAGATATATAGAAGAGATACAGATAATAAACATTAAATAGGTTTTAGAGTTTAGTTGCACATATAACAAATACAATATATAGTGTGTATACATGTATATTTACATATTGCAATAAACCATCATACTTAATGGAAATGAAATTAATAAAGAGATTTCCATGTCAACAATATACTTTGAATTTACAAAAAAATTAAATGGTGGGGGGAAAAAATTAAGTGGTGGAGCCAGTGTGACTTAATAGGAATGTTCTTTTTTAATATGTGAAGCAGTAACATTCTAGGAAAAAATTATATTAATAAAAACCCTTTTTAGCCGAAACCGGTTTGGCTCAGTGGATAGAGCGTCGGCCTGCAGACTGAAAGGTCCCGGTTCAATTCCAGTCAAGGGCATGTACCTTGGTTGCGGGCACATCCCCAGTAGGGGGTGTGCAAGAGGCAGCTGATAGATGATTCTCTCTCATCGATGTTTCTAATTCTCTATCTCTCTTCCTATCTGTAAAAAATCAATAAAATATGTATTTTTTTAAAAATTGTTCTTATTCAAATGATAGATGAAAGATTTACTTTTTTGAAATTTTGGAACATATTAGAAGATATAAGCTTCTTTGTTGGTGTAGAATATGACTAATGTTTTGAAGGAAATACAATAAATTGAGCCATTTCTTCAACTTTTCTCTATCTACCTGTCACTATTTTTACCATCACCCTATTTCTCAACCCCTGAATTAAACTCAGTTCTCTTTTGTCCTGGAATTTTATATGCAACCAGTTTTTTAATCCTTTCTCTATTATGACTCTTGGACAGACAGCTTTTAATTTCCATGCCCTTTACTAAATCAGCCTAAGTAAATTAATACTTTAGCTTCCCAGCTGGTTTTCTTGCCTCTAAATAAGATGCATACTGAGAATGCACCACATATGAGCCAAGGAATTAAAGAAAACCATATTTTTGAAAGTTTTTTTTGTGGTTGTATATAAGATAGATTAGGAGGGCCCAAGCCCCTCCCTCCCTCCTTTGAACAGCAGGGCCCTCTACCTAGTACTACCATGTTCTCTTCTCAGAAAATCAACTTTCATCTATATCCCCCCTTCTGCTGCAGGCAAGCCAATCCTCTTCCTGTCACTTGTACTAGTAGTAGGTACTGTTTGTTCTCAACTTTATATATTTGAATAGATATTTATTGAACCTAAAATGTTCCTCTGTCTCATCTGTTCTTATTTCTCCCTCTGTAGACCTGGCTTATAAATACTTCACTTCAGAGAGCTTTTCAACCTATCATTTTACTCTCTGCCATTTAATACCTAACATTCCAGTTTATACGCTGTTATTTTATACCTGTTATAGATTGCTTTGTAAGGATCTTATCTCCTGTGTTGGATAATGAGCTCTTTGAAAACAGGGACTATACTTTCTCCTTTGTATCCCATAAAATAATATGTTGCTGAGTGCTTAATAAGGAGCAGTGTGTCTAGAATATACTCATTAGGTATTCACCTAGTGGAGGCCTTAGAATACAATAGAGAATCACTATGGGTCCAAACCAAGGGGCAAAGTAATTAAGTACCAGATTCTTGGAAAGAAGCAGCGCTAGTGGTGGCACTTCTGCTAAAAAGGAAATTGAACAGACCATTTGAGAAATTACTAGGGCCTAAACTAAATATTGACCATAGCTTCAGAGAAAAAGATTGCTTTTCAGTTCAAGGGTACCTTTGAGTTGTATGCGTATAATAGTTATCTTTTTACCTTCGTCATAAGCAGTAACATTAACAGTGGAATCAAAGTTCAGAGCGCAAGTCCTCGTAATAGTATCCTTGTGAGTAAGCCAGGTAGGTAGTTTGTAATCCCTGGCCAGCTCTAGGCAAATAAGGGACACTGAGAGGTTGAACATTGAAACTTTCCGAGTGCATCCTGATTCAAACATTAACTGTAAAATATTTTGTATCAAAACTTTCATATCTGCTGGGATACAAAAAGAAATTGCTTTGATAGTTAATCTTTGGTGACTAAAATTTTAATGGAGCTCTCCTATATTTACCTCTCAGTACTTCTCCAGAGTTTTACCCTCTGGGACCGGTAGTTCTTTGACAATATGTGTCCTGAGTATTGAGATGTTTTTTCCTCCCCAGACAACACTGCAAACTGATGAAGTTAAAAATGTGCCTTGTGGAACAAGGTAAGCTTTCCCTCACCAACCTCCCTTTAGTTCAGACAGAGTTTCTGTTCATAAGCTCTAATCAAACATCTTTCAAAAGGCATGAAAGTAACCCCAGGAGTTTTCTCTTCTGGGCATTATATGAGGAAAGCCCTTTCTCCAAACAGGAGCTTTTTATCTTAAGAGCCATTAGGGTGTTATTGAAAAGAACCAGCAGACCTAACTTCATAAGTATATCAGGACTGCCACATCTGCTTTATTGAGTTTTGTGGGGTATTTTTTTTAGCTAGACTTTATTCTTTAGTGCACTTTTAGGTTCATAGCTAAATTGAGCAGAAAGAACAAAGTTTCCATATAATCATTGCTGCCACACATGCCTTTATTGACTTTGCTAAGCCCAGTTCCCTCATTTGTAAAAATACTATCTAATAAAAATTAGAGTCACATGCAAATTAACCACCACTCTGCTACACCCACAAGCAATGCCCACCAGCCAATCAGGAGTGAGTAAGCAAATTAACCCAACCAAGATGACTGCGGCCACGGAGTGAGCAGGAGGCTTGGGTTTCTCCAGCAATGGAGGAAGCCAAGCTTTCCGCACACCCTGGCGGACCCAGGTCTCTACTCAAGGCTACAAAGTTTCAATTATAGAAGATAGATAAATCCCAACAAAAATGGCGGTAGCCACAGAGCTGGAGAGAGCAGGAGGCTTGGGTTTCCCCTGGTGATGGAAGAATCCAAATTTCTGCAGCCCTGGCCTGCCTAGGCCTCTGCTACAAAGTTTCAATTATAGAAAGTAAATAAATCCCAGATACCAGGGCCTCCGCTTGGGTCACTAGGGGGCGTGGCCAGCCTGCAAACCACCACAGGCCCCTCGCCCAGGCCTCCCCACACCCCATGGGAATCCCCACCCTGATCCAGGACACCCTTCAGGCAAACCAGCTGGCCTCCACCCATGCAGCAGGCCTCTAGCCTATCTAATAAAAGAGTAATATATGCAAGTTGACCATCACTCCAACACACAAGATGGCTGCCCTCATGTGGGCACAAGATGGCCAGCAGGAGAAGGTAGTTGGGAGGGAGCAGGCCTTCAAGGGAGGGCAGTTGTGGGCAATCAGGACAGGAGGGAGGGCAATTGGAAGGGACCAGACTTGCAAGGGAGGGCAGTTGGGGGCAATCAGGCCTACAGGGAGAGCAATTAGGAGTGACCAGCCTGGTAGAGGAGGGAAGGTGGGGTGACCAGGCCTGCAGGGAAGGATAGTTGTGGGGGACCCAGGCCTGTAAGAGAGAGCAGTTGGGGGGGACCAGGCCTGCAGGAGAGAGCAGTTAGGGGTGACCAGGCCTGCAGTGGGGGGTCAGTTAGGGGCAAACAGGCTGGCAGGGGAGCAGTTAGGCATCAATCAGGCTGGCAGGGAGTGGTTAGGGGGTGATCAGGCTGGCAGGCAGAAGCAGTTAGGAGCAATCAGGAAGGCAGGTGAGCAGTTGGGAGCCAGCAGTCCTGGATTGTGAGAGGGATATCAGACATCCCTGTGGGGTCCAGATTGGAGAGGGTGCAGGCTGGGCTGAGGAATTTTGTGCACCAGGCCTATAGTAAAGTAATAAGACATATCTTGCAATTATACTAAGGGATAGAATTAGTGTATATGAAGTGCCTAACCCAGCACTTGATCCAGAGTAAGTACTCAATAACAGTTTAAAATGAAATCATCTCACTTGTCATATGTAGTATTAAAAGCCATCTAGAGTTTCTGATTCAATAGGTCTGGATTGAAGCCTGAGAATTTGCATTTCTAGCAGAAGTTCTCAGGTGATGGTAATGCTATTTGTGGTTTTAGGACCTTATTATGAAAAAAGCTAATTTTAAGGAAAGAAAGGCAAGCAAGGCATATATTATTTCTAGAATATAATCAGTACATTGAATTGTATCAAAAGTAATGTAAAATTGAAGGTATTTTTTAAATGATTAAAATATTTATTACAAGCCAATATAAAAGAGGCTTTGACATCAGTGGAAGGACACATGCTTTTTAAAAGGGAGCAAATTTGATAAATTCTCTGTAGGTCTGTCTTTCACTTTTTTTAAAATGGATTCCCTTTAGAGATGACTCAAAATTGGCACCTAGTGAGATTTTTGGTAAATTTTATGTTAATCTTTTTGTTTTCCTATTTTTTCAGATTTTTATTTTTAGTGAGCATGTACTACTCTTTTCTTATCAGGGAGGGGTCGGGGAAATGTTATTGTAAATTGGTAGGAAGGCTTAGTTGTTTCGTTTAAAAAATCTCATGTACCTCAAGTTGAAATTCACATGTCCCTCATGGTAGCCCAGGAAGCATTTGAACCACTAATTAACAAGACCTATCTTTCTAGTGTGCCAGGTTTACTTGAGGGGGGCAAATTTTCTTATACAAAAATAAATATGGATAAAACATAAAAACTCTTTGATTAATTATTAAGATAAAGCAGGAAACCAAAAAGATTTTAAAGTGTGGCTGGCCTTCATATCTCCTGAGGAACCATTTTACTTGGTTTCTTTTTTTCTTTTTTTAATATATTTTATTGATTTTTTTTTTTTTTGCAGAGAGGAAAGGAGAGGGATAGAGAGAAATATCAATTAGCTGCCCTCTACACACCCACTACTGGGGATGTGCCTGCAGCCAATGTACATGCCCTTGACCGGAATCGAACTTGAGACCATTAAGTCAGCAGGCCAATGCTCTATCCACTGAGCCAAACTGGTTAGGGCTTTACTTGGTTTCTTGATGGAAGACTTTGAGAAGAGCATTGCTTTATCTGTTGGCCAGTTAATAAGAGCAAAGTGCTAAGTAGCGTTAGGTTATAGGTTTGGTCTTCATGTGAGCTGAATTGGTCACAACAGTTACAGAGGTGAACCTTTGTTATGTAAGGAACTAGGTGAGTGTGTAGGGTTATTTGAGTAGTGATTAGTGGAGTCATTTTAATCAGTAATATATGTCTTTAGATTTTCTTTCTAAATTTCCATCTTGTGGCATATGTTTGATGATCTGGGATTATATAGATTTGTATTTGGCTCATGCTTTTTTCTTTTTCTTTTTTTTTCTTTTTTTTTTAGTGGTGGGGTCATGATCTATATTGATCGGATAGAAGTGGTTAATATGTTGGCCCCTTATGCAGGTATGGTACTGATCTGTTCTGTTGTTTTATGATTATAATCAGAGTATTTATAACTGAGAGATTCCCTAAAGAATAGAAAGGTACTTTTAAAGTTTTATGACTTCATTTATTTCTAAATGTATAAAAAATAGTCACTGGAATAGTTTCCATTTTGAGAGAATGGTGACAGAAATAGGTCACAAGTTCTACACAGAGTTGACTTTTCTGCAACTATGTGGGTTACTCTTTGTTTTTAAAGAGCAAGACAGTCATTGATTATTTCTAGAATTTCTAGAAAATAGCATTTTATCCATTCAGGATGAGAGATCATTTCCATGCATGCTAAAAATCTATAATTGCTTAAGTCTTAAGCCACATTGATTTGTGACCATAGAAAAATCTTTTTTGGTTATGAGATATGCTATAACTTACAGAGCAATCTGAAAGCATTGTGGGGGCAACATTTTCTTGGTAAAAGATGAAAACATAGAGATGGAGTGGGCATTTTTAAAAAACTTAAGAAAATCTGTCTTTGTTTGGTTTGATTGCTCCCCCCAATATTTTGTAGCAAAATACACGTAAGTCATCTTACCATTTTTTAAGTGTACAGTTCAGTGGTATTAAACACATTCAGATTGTTGTGCAACCATCATCAATTCAATCTTGATAACTTTTCATCTTATAAAGTGAAACTCTATAAACATTGAATAATAACTCCCATTTCCCTTCTCTTCAGCCTCTGGTAATTATCATTTTACTTTCTGTCTCTCTGATTCTGAATGCACTATGTACCTTATATAAGTGGAATCATACGGTATTTGTCTTTTTGTGACTGGGTTATTTCGCTTAGCATAATGTTCTCAAGGTTCATCCATGTTGTAACATGTATCAGAATGTCCTTTTTAAGGCAGAATAATATTCAACTGTATGCATATACCACATTTTGTATATCCATTTATCCATCAATGAACATTTGGATTGCCTTTACGTTTTTGCTGTTGTGAGTAATCTGTGAACATGGAGGTACATTGATCTCTTTTAGTGGAAAGATCTGCCATTCTACCTTTATCCTTATTATTAAAATTGGCATGCCCGTATGTACAGGATACTGTATTTGATGAAACAATTTAAAAAGGTGATGTTAGAACCTTTGCCTAAGGAGTTTTTGTTTTACTTAAGAAGACAAAACACCAAATATATATTGGAATGTAAGGTCATGCTAAATTTCATGTCACTGGATCAGGTCAAATAGCAAAAGGTTTTCATAACAGAGAACAGGTTGTATTATTGCCCAGTGGATTGGTTCAGTGATTAAGTATTTTCATTGTCCTTTTTCATCTACTTTCCCTGGCAACAAATCAGCGGGATGAATTGTGATTGAAAAATAGAAGAAAGGGAGGTTGCTTTTCTCTAGCCAAAGATAAAGAGGAAACTCTTGGTTCACCAGTTCATTTAGAAATGACCCAGCAAATGAATTAATCGACAAATATTTATTATGGCCTATTTATCAAGGAAAGGCCAGTGGAGCAAGTAGTTGGGTCTGAACAAGAGAAAGCAGCATGTGATGTTGTTTTTTAATTTTTTACTTTTCAGTTATAATTAACATACAATGTTAGTTTCAGGTTTACAACTAAACCTTTGTAATATAAATAATACAAAGTGATCACCCCGATAAATCTAGTTCACATCTGACATCATACATAGTCAATAAAATATGCCAAAACCGGTTTAGCTCAATGGATAGAGCATCGGCTTGGGGACTGAAGGGACCCGGGTTCGATTCTGGTCAAGGGCATGTACCTTGGTTGCGGGCATATCCCCAGTGGGGGATGTGCAAGAGGCAACTGATCGATGACTCTCTCTCATTGATGTTTCTAACTCTCTATCTCTCTCCCTTCCTCTCTGTACAAAATCAGTAAAATATATTTTTAAAAAAAGATTTAAAATATTAGTGTCTATATTCCCTATACTGTATTTTACATCCTGATGATTATTCTGTAATTGCCAATTTGTATGTCTTAATTCCTTCACCTTTCTCACCCATCCCTCAAATCCCATGTTTGAATAGTTAAAGCACGGGTTCAGGTATGGTCTAGTAGGTACCCTTAAGCACATTTCTGAAATGCTCTGTTTCTCAGTTTTCTCAATTAGATTTTTTGCGATATTTAAATGCTATGTGTGTAAATTGCCTGGCATAAAGCCTGGCCCAATAAATGTTTGCGTCTTTCCCTTCTAGCCTGGTCTCTTCTGTAACAGCCTTTAAAAACTGCCTTTTTGAAAATGGTTTTTTGCAGCTGCTTTCTTTTATTCCCACTGTTCCTCAATTAGTTAAGGCCCTTAACATCTCTTAGCTAAACTTTTGCTTTGTAGTAATTGTTTTACACTTTCCTGCCTCTGATCTTCGTGCCTCCCAGTTCATCTTCATACTGCTGCCAAAGTACAAATCTGATTGTGTCATACCCTTGCTTGAAAACTTTCAGTTCCTTATACCTCCAAGATATATATGCTCTTCTTAGTATGGAATTTGAAGTTTGCCTCTAGAATTATAATATCAATGTAACTTTTACCTTGGCTGAATTAGAAGATACATGAGTAAACATGGATTGTACCTCTCCTTCAGTGTTTGATATTGTGAGGAACTACACTGCAGACTATGACAAGACCTTAATCTTCAATAAAATCCACCACGAACTGAACCAGTTTTGTAGTGCCCACACACTTCAAGAAGTTTACATTGAATTGTTTGGTAAGTGTCTTACTTGTTTTGAATATGTAAATAGCTAATTGGAAATCTTGTTCAACTCGTTTATGGATGCTATAACAATATTAGTAAACTTGCTCTTTGAGCATTCCTTCTGATTTTAAAATAGAGCAATTGTCTTTAAAATATTCTTTTTCTTATGATTAGATTAATTAGTTGCTCAGACAAGCTATTTTAAAAATGACGAAATTTAAAAATGCACTGAGATGGGTAGTCCCTCAGCCTAGCCTGCACCCTCTCACAGTCCAGGACCCCTTGTGGGGAGTGGGCCTAAGCTGGCAGGTGGACATCCCTCTCACAGTCTGGGATCCCTTGCTCCTTACCTCCTGGCTTGCTGCTCCTTAGTGCTGCCATGGAGGCCAGAGAGGCTCCCACCACCGCCTCTGTGCTCAGCAGCCCAGGCTGAGCAGCAGTCCCCCTGTGGGAGTGCACTGATCACCTGGGAGCAGCTCCTGCATTGAGCATCCACCTCCTGGTGGTCAGTACACATCATAGCAACCGGTCGTTCCACCATTCAGTTGATTTGCATATTAGGATTTATTATTATAGGATACCCATTTTCTGAAATGCATAATACATTACTATATCCTGTTTTTACTGTGATAACTTACTAAAAATATAGCTTTGTTGCTATTTTAATAGATAATTTAGGGAAATTTAGAAATCTGTGTCCTGGAATTTTTCAAGACCCACCTCCATGTTTGATGATTTGCTAGGAGGTCTGACAGGACTCATTATATAGTTGTACTCTCAGCTAAGATGCATTAATAGCAAAAGGATAAAGCACATGGGTGAAGTCTGAAGGAAACCAGGCACAAACTTTCAGGAGTGTTCTCCCAATAGAGTCAAGCAGTATACACTTAATTACTCCAGCACTGAATTGCAACATGTGTGAAAATGTTGTCTACTTAGGGAAGCTCATTAGAGACTCACTGCCCAGGATTTTTATTTTTATATAGACACCCTCTGCATGGTATATATCAAAATTCCAGACTCCCAGAAAAAAGGCAGATATTTGGCATAAACCACATTATTTGTATGAACAATTTAGGTACAGTGAGTTATTCTTATCAATTATGGGGTTGATGGAAATCCTCTCTATGTCCAGTTGCCAGGTGACAAGCCAAGGGCTAACTTGCAAACAGGCTTTTCTAAGGATGGCAGCTTCAGGTCTCCTACATTTACTGTTTTTCTGCATAAATTACCTTTTTTGTTCATTCTTGCCTGACAATATTTTTTCCCCATTGATTTTGAGAGACAGTGGAAAAAGAAGATAGAGGGCGAGAGAAGGAGTGACAGAAGTGGGGAGGGAAGAAGGGATGGAATGTGAGAGACATTGATGGCCTTTTGCAAGCCCTCCCACACCTGCAATCCGGGTACATACCCTTGACTGGGAATGAAACCCAAGGCCCTTCGGTGTGTGGGCCAGCGCCCTAATTATTTAACCACACTGGCCAGGGCTGCACAAATAACTTTTCATTTATAACTGTGAAAGTTCTGACCAGTGACTGGGTTGACCAGTGATTAGATTGTTGCTATTGGGTTCTTACTTCTTCCTGGAATTCTTAGTGAATTTCTTAGAGGCAGGCATAGGAATGGTTAATCAGTTTGGAAATCTACCAGTTGATTCATCAATGATTGACAACTATTGGGATCATGTCTGAGAAAACTGTTCTGTCCTGATTTGTCACGTCACCCATCCTATCTAATAAAAGGGTAATATGCAAATTAACCATCACTCCGTTACAAAGATGGTGGCACCCATAGCCACAAGATGGCGGCACCCAGTCCCCTCAGCCCCGCCAGAGTCCCTGGAGTCCCCCAGTCCTAGGGGGATGGCCGCTGAGAGCAGGCAGCGTGAGCGCCCTGGTGGAACGCTTGCTTGTCATCGTGGCAACAAGGCAAGCATTCCGCCCTGGCTCCGGAGGGCCTCTAGCAGCCGGGCAGGTAGGGCCTCTGGGCCATGGAGAGCCTGTGCACAGCAGGCACAGAGTGGCCAGGCCTGCAGAGAGCAGAGAACCACAGGGAGTAGGCCTAAGCCGTCACAGTTCCTGGATTGGAGAGGGCTCCTCTGAGGGCTCCCAGGTTGGGGAGGGTGCAGGTCAGGCTGAAGGACCTATCCCCTGGGCATGAATTTTGTGTACCGGGCCTCTAGTCTTTATAATAATGGTGAATGTACTGTTGAGGTGGATCAAAAATTCATGAGTTATAAGGCCAAGTGAAGTGACATGTTTGTCGTCCGTTTTTGTGGGCTTCAAAGGTCTTCCTGTGAGCCATTCCACTCACCTTGTCCTCTCTGTTTTTAAATCCAAAATAATAGGTATTTGGAGGTTTGGGGTAAAGATTGAAGAAATAAATTTTTAAAAAATGAGAATCAGGACATGTGTTAATTAAAAACAATGAATTGATATTAGAGACCTAGATTCTCTATTTATTGGATCAACTTAATTTCGTTGATAATTCTTCACACTTTCTCCCACACAAAAAGAAAACTAAATATATATAATATACATATATTTGTTTATATATGTAAAGTACTTTAAGCTCTGTGAAAGAATAGTACCATGGGAACTTTAGGTCTAATAATAATCGTTTTTGTTTCAGTATTAAGACAATGTAAAAAAAAATTTTTGAGTGTCATAAGAATTGTTTTTGGCTTCAAAAACAGATCAAATAGATGAAAACCTGAAGCAAGCTTTGCAGGAAGATTTAAACGTCATGGCACCAGGACTCACCATACAGGTAAGCCTTTTTCCTAGAGAAATTCTCAGGGAATTTTGAGAGCTTTAAAATTTAAAGTTTCTTTTATTATACTGTTTATTCTCCAATTATTTTTTAAATATATTTTATTGATTTTTTTTTTACAGAGAGGAAGAGAGAGAGATAGAGTTAGAAACATCAATGAGAGAGAATCATTGATCAGCTGCCTTTTGCACACCCCCTACTGGGGATGTGCCCACAACCAAGTACATGCCCTTGACCGGAATCAAACCCGGCACCTTTCAGTCCAAGGCTGACGCTCACTCTATCCAGTGAGCCAAACCGGTTTCAGCTATTCTGAAATTATTTAATTGAAGTGCTGTAGTGAGTTATAGAATACCTTCCTCAGTTTGAGTTTAGGTCTCTGTCAAAATAAAATACTCTTATAGCTAATCATGAATTCCTAGAGGGAACAGATAAGCTGAGGCCCTTACAAAGAAATAAAATACACATACTACTAGTGTGAGGCATTACTAAGTTACAGTAATGGTTATAAATCAGTGTAAGAGTATTCCTTATGAAAGGAATTTCCAGTATAAGATTTAGACAATAATTCTACACAAAGTAGATGTCCTAACACATTAATTGACAGGCAAATTGATTGGGCAAATTGATTGACTATAAAAGTTTAAGAGAACATTTCAAGAGAGTCTGCCTAGAAATGACTGTGATTGAGTTGGGATTTTAGATATGTCTGGAATTAATAGGACTTATAGGGGAACGGAGTAAAGAAGGTATTTCAGGTGGGTGGAATGCCCTGAGAAAAGAAAGGCAAGGTAGCAGCTGAAATTAATGGTGGTGGTGGCAGGAGTGGTGACGGCACTGGCAGTGGTGGCAGTGGCAGCAGCAGCAACATTGGGAGATGGAATGATGAGAGGCTATATGCCTACTTTTTTGAGTTAATAATTTTTTAGATTAAATTGAAATCCATTAGTGGATTCTCAAATCAGTTTTAGTGGGTCATGACCAGCATTTTAAGTAAATTGGAATTAAATAGGAAAAGAAATCAGTAAATGCCATGTAGTAGGTTTAAGTCATTCTGTAAAATCTTTGTATTAGGTTTTTATATTGGGTATCACTGTAAAATGTGTCTTTGAGAGCTTCTTTGGAGGTTCTAGCAGGGGAGCGCAGCTACTTGTATGCCCTTGACCGAAGACCGGTCCTCTCCTCTTCGACCGAGCGCACAGCTTCAGGAGGGGCACACGTGGATCGGTGTGAGAGGAGGGGGACATCCGCCTAGCCATCTGGATCAGCTGAATCAACACTGGCGATCAATGGGGTGACAGATGTCGCAGCCAGATCGCCCTCACATCTAAAATGTCTCTTACTGTGCTCATATCATGGTCAATAACATTTGAAAGCCATGGTTCTGGATCTAGATTACCTGAGAAGTGGTAATATGGCTTCTCTAGTATCATTTCTCAGAGTTATTAGGAGACCAATCGATCATTGTGGTGAACGTTACTACAGCTAAAGATAAAGCTTTGTTTGGTGTCACATGTCTCAAGTGACTGTCTCATTGCTACTGAGAGGTGCATTCACTGTTGAGTGACCATGTCTTATCGTATAAACAAGACTGGAAAGATGGCGATGGATTTTCCTATCCTCATTTAGATTGTGCCATTATCTCTGATGGGTGCCTGGGGGAGCCACCGAAGTTCAGGGATCATTTGAAATGTCCAAAGTTAATTGCAAAATTCTCTTGGTTATACATTCAGTTGTGGCTAGAGTAGCTTTTCAGGTTTAAAGATAATAAATGTGAATGTCACAGAGTCTTAGATTCTGCCCAGTTTGTGACTTGGGGATGTAGCTCGTTCTTTTTATCAGCTGCCTAGAATTCCTTGTCATTATTATATAACCACTAGAGGCGTGGTGCACGATATCCATGCACTGTTGGGAGGAGAGGGAGGACAATGGTCCGTCAGCCCAGCTTGTGCCCTCAGCAGGCGGACATCCCCTGAGGGGTCCTTAGTGCTGCTGTGGAGGCAGGAGAGGCTCCAGCCACCACTGTTGCTCGCCAGCTATGAGTCCAGCTTCTGGCTGAGTGGTGCTCCCCCTGTGGGAGCACACTGACCACCAGGGGGCAGCTTCTGCATTGAGTGTCTGCTCCCCGGTGGTCATTGCATGTCATAGCGACCAGTTGTTTCACCATCCTGTCGATTGCATATTAGGATTTTTTTTTTTTAATATATTTTTATTGATTTTTCACAGAGAGGAAGAGAGAGGGATAGAGAGCTGGAAACGTTGATGAGAGAGAATCATCGACCAGCTGCCTCTTGCACACCCCCTACTGGGGATGTGCCCGCAACCAAGGTACATGCCCTTGACCGGAATCGAACCTGGGACCTTTCAGTCCGCAGACCGACGCTCTACCACTGAGCCAAACCGGTGCCAGCGCATATTAGGATTTTATTATATAGGATTTCTCTATTGTTCTCCCCCACTTTTTTTGCTGTTAGTAAGCAATAATGTAGCGAATATTCTTGACACATCTCCTTGTATGTAAAAATTATCTTTCAATCAGCTATACAATTCTACATTCTTACCAGTAGTATGTGTGAATACTTGTTTGTCTACAACTCACCAGATTTGAAGCAATCAGATGTTAATTTTTGCTAAATGGCTGATAGATTTGAATTTATCTCTCTCTTTGATTTGCATTTCCTTAGTTTTTAAATGAGGTCAAGCATCTTTCTAGTTTTTATTTTTGTAGCCATCCCTATCTACTCTCCTCCCTAAATTGCCCATTTATCTGTTAGATTTTTTTCTTATTGATTTGTTAGTAATAATCTGTATATTCTGGCTACTTTGTATATTCTGGATATGTTATGCAGTATGTTGTAAAATATTAGATATTAGGAAAAAGATGAATAACAAAATGAAATTAACCACTAATCTTACTATGCAGAGATAGGAGTTTGTTGTATAATATCTTTCCAGATTCTTCTTAAGTATATTGTTTATAAGTATAAATAATGTTAAACTAAAGTAGAATTATGCCATAGCTGTTTTTTTTTCACTAGCAGTGTATATAAGCATCTTTTCAAATAAAAAAATAAAGATGTGCTGCATTATCGCTTTTAATGGTTTTATTTAATTTCTATGCTTCCAATTTTTACTATTATATGCATGTTGCAATGACCAAACTTATAAATACATCTTTTAAAATCCTTTCCTTAGGATAAGTTCTTAAATGTAGGATTTAATGTGTAGGATTGACAGGTCAAAGTGTATGTATGCCCTGTTTGGTGCTTTTTGATACATGCCAAATTGTCTTTCAGAAAAACTAGCAGCTTATACTCTCTCATCAGCAGTGTTAGAGGAGTTTATTGTTTTTGAAGGCATATCAAGTACCTCAATTGGTGTATAAGTTTTAAAATTGGGAGCATAATGCCAAGTTAGTGTGTCTCAGTGGTTGAACATCGACCCATAGGCTTTATCCCCAGTAGAGGGCATGCAGGAGGCAGCTGATCAATGATTCTCTCTCATCATTGATGTTTCTCTCTCCATTCCTGTCTCTGAAATCAATAAAAATATATTAAAAATAAATAAATAAAATTGGGAGCATAGTTCATGGCTTTTATGTAATTATAATATTTTTGTTTCTTTTAGAATTTCTGACCTAGGTTAGAAACTCATATGCCAAATTAAATTAATACTCGTGAATTTAATGAGTCTTAATGCTGTTAAACATAGTCTTTTTTTTTTAAAGCATTAAGGTATGCAAATGATTCTTGGTGAATTCAGTGTCTTTACTTATTTTTTTGTTAGTTTCCTCAGGGTGGGGTTTGTGTGTATGTGTGTATTAAAAATATTTAACATGAGATCTATCCTCTTAACAAATTTTTAATACATTATTATTGACTATAAGTAAAATGTTGTACAGAAGATCTCAAGAACTATTAATCTTGCTTGACTGAAACTTTATGAGTTTCCTTATATCTCTTTTTTTCTTTTTTCTCTTATTAAGGTATTATATGTGTACATATCTTACCATTGTCCCCCCTCCCACTCCCATATATGCCCATTGGTTATGCTTATATGCATGCATACAAGTCCTTCGTTGATCTCTTATCTCCCCCATATCTCCCTACCCTCCCTGCTGTAATTTGACAGTCAGTTTCCTTAGATGTTTTTAGTTACATAATTATGCCAAAAAAAATCTTGATTTTGCCTTTCACAGTCTAGTATTTTTCAGTCCCCACATTATCCTATTTTAATTCTTTACATAATATTCTAACTACCTGAAATTCTCTTGTTTATTTATTTGGTTTTTTTGTTGTTGTCTGAAGTGTTTTCTCCTCAAATTTTAAATTTCATGAGAGTAGTCTTGCCTTGTTTATTAAATAAATTATTCTTTGTAACAATCACTATTTTAATTTTTCCCTTCTCATTTTTCTTGAACAACTACTATGGCAAATTAGGGTAGTAAAAATAACATTCTTGATATTTATTTAGTGGTGTGACTATATTATATGCTGACTTTTGGTTTAAAATACATGCTTATAACGCAGGGGTCAGTTTCAACAGATAAATTTATTTCATCAGTTTGTGGGGTTGCTTTTCCTTACTCCATGTGTATGCTCATTTTGGTCAGTGTTTTTGGATATATATATATGCTTTATTTCAGAGAGGGAGAGGAAAAGAGAGGTAGAAACATCAATGATGAGAATCATTGATCTGCCATCTTGTGCACACTTTCTACTGGCAATCAAGCCCTTGACCAGAATTGAATCAGGACCCTTCAGTCCGCAGGCAGATGCTCTCTCAAACGAGTTAGGGATTTTTTTTTCTCTCTCTTAAATGTCATAATGCAACTTATTCATGGTATCTATTACAAGTCTTTATAATTTCACATATTTGAAAATGATAAGGTTTCCCAAGATTGGCAAACATGTATGTTCTTCAGCCTCATATAGCAAGAAAAAAATCTATAGAAAACAGTTCTATTTTATGCTTCTTTTTATAAGACTAAAAAGATAGATGGCTCATCTCTTACTGTAATACAATATGACAATGCTTTTCTTTGAAACATATTAAAATAAAATGTATTGGAAATCATCAGTGTTTCTGATAGTCACATGGCATCTCTCACCAATTCTGATTCTAAATTTTTGTCTTCTGGTTATCTCCAGGAATTGTTCCTATGGTCTTACATGCCTCACCTTCAGCTGGTAATGAGTGTTTTCACTACAGTACCCAGTTTCTTAAGCCATTTCACTCTAATTTTTATGATAAATTTATGATAAGTCCTCAAAATTATGTGCAGATTTGACTGTTCACTTTCACGTAAGGAAGGCTATGTATGTTGCTTAAACATTATAAAAAAATTTTTTTCAAATGCCTTAAAAGAAGGGCATGTGTTTAAAGTCTTTGTTGCTTAAAAGTTTAGCCAGTTGAAGGAAGGAAGGAAGGAAGGAAGGAAGGAAGGAAGGAAGGAAGGAAGGAAGGAAGGAAGGAAGGAAGGAAGGAAGGAAGGAAGGAAGGAAGGAAGGAATGAGGAAGGGAGGAAGGAAGGAAGAAAAGGAATAGAAGGGGAGGAAGGGAAGAAAGGGGAAGGGGAGGGGAAAGGAGCCCTAACCAATGTGGCTCAGCTGGTTGTGCATTGTCCCATGCACTGAAAGGTTGCAGGTTTGATTCTTGCACATGCCTGTGTTTCCACCTTGATCCCCGGTAGAGAACGTGCAGGAGGGAGCTGACTGATGTTTGGCTCCCACATTAATGTTTCTCTCCCCTTCTCTTTCTCTCTCTCTCTAAAAATCAGTTTGTTTTTTTAAAATAAAAGTTTAACCAGTTTTCAGAGGAAAATTAACTTTCAGATCAGCAAAGTGTTTTGTGTATGCTTGCCGTGTAGGAGGGAGTGAGAGCTATTTAACTAGTGAAACCAAAATGTTGTGAGAGATCAAGTCATATATGTAGAAAAGTCAGCCTTCAAAAACTATTCTTCCCAAGTATGTCAAAGTACACTGATTAGGAAAACAAATTTTCTACCAAACAGTGTCTACAAAGGCAAATAGACTTTGTTCTAAGTGAGATTCTAGAAAGAATATAAGCTATTAATTGGTATTTCTTTTCCTTCTGTCTTTGGCTGTTGGTTTATATCTAGTACTGAATGATTGCTGGTTTATAAAGTGGTAAATTCATTTACTCACTTTGTTAAGTTGCATGTACCCACCTGGGTTTTTTGTTTTCATATTTGTTTTCTACTTAATTTAAATCTGGGAATTTTACGTGTCTTTTATTTCTTTGGTTTGCAAAATGGTAAAGGAATCAAAATATCTAACTAAAGAGCTCTGTGAAAAGTCTTTTAAGAGAGAACTTTTTCCCTATAGGAGTTTATTTCCTCAACTGGTAGGATGGTTTTTCTTGTAGTCAGGCTTTTTTTTTTTTTTGCTTATCCTTGATTATTGGTGTGATGGCTGAACAGTAGATTTTTCTCATAGGATCCCACGGGTGTTAGTAGGCAGCTAGTCATGTTGTAGTTGTTTTGTTAGTTTCACTTGAAGAGCTCTTCTATAGAAGATTTAGTTTGAAGATTCATTTTTCAAATATATTTTGGCTTTTTCACTTTTATTTTTTAGGCTGTGCGTGTTACAAAACCCAAAATCCCAGAAGCCATAAGAAGAAATTTTGAGTTAATGTGAGTAATGTGCATGGGATCCCAATATTTTATTTAGGGCTGTCTACGTATTAATATGCCAGTCTAAAGGAAATGTCTGTGTGAGATATTACACTCTGAGGTGTGTTTTGTGTTTGTATTCCATACTTTAATTCTAGTAATACAGTCAAACCTCGGTTCTTGAACATCTCCCATCTCGAACAATTTTTGTTCACAAAAATGTCTCAGCTGTCAAACAAAACTTGGGTTCTCGACCCAACAACCCTTTCATGATCAGTTACTCATCTCTCAGGCAACAAAGGAGAGAATGTGTAAGTTTGAGTCATTTTACCATTGAACCTCCTGCTAACATCTCAGGAAATTGTGCTGTGAATATTTTCATGTGTTTTGCTTTTGTGGCTGCTTATTATTATTAAACACATGCAGTAAGTCACCATGGGCCCTAAGAAATTTAGCGATAGTAGCAAAGAGGAAGGAAAGTTGTAAGAACATGATAGAGTTTTAAAAAGACATAATTGTAAAGCATGATAGAAGTGTTTGCATGTCTGATCTGTATATTTTATTTCATTTCTGCTAAATTTTCATTTACATGTCATATCCTTTTTGTTTTTATAGTATTTCTTGATAGCTTAAATAGTAACTTAGACATGTACTGTATGTTGTAACAAAGATTAAAACAGAATCATTGAGGATCTAGAATGGATTAATCAATTTACATTATTTCTAATGGTAAAAAATATTTTGGTTCTCTAATAAATCTCTTCTCGAACAGCCTTCTGGGAGGAATTAAATTCCAGAACCAAGGTTCTACCGTATTGCCTATTCTAGTGTCCTTATTCCCACTAGACTCTTACTAGTTTGCTCCCTATGGACATTTCAGGAGGAGCTTCAGTGGCTAAGGGTGCAGATGGCTGTAGAGCCATGGTTGGAAGCCTAAGGAGCTATACTTGTGTTGTGAATAATACCTTGAATTAAATATTAATAGGGGAGAAAAAGAGTTCTAGCTATTAAGGTTGAAGAGAGAGCCTACGTTTTGTTACTGTGTTATAATGGTAAGAATAGACTTTTTCTTGGTATAAGGTTTGGTTTGTATGTCGTTGTGTATCTAAAGTCAGACCTGAGTCTTTACATTTTGCCCCTGGGGAAGCTTTTTCTGAGTTGACTCCTGAGTATTATTTTCTTTTTTATGTGTCCAGTGCTGACTGGATATGAGAAGTTACTTGCTTGACATGAAATTATTTTCTAAGTGTTTTTAGAAGATTCTTTTTAGGGAATACCTATCATAGTCAAAATAGCAAAATTATTCTCATATGACAGTACTGAGAAGAAGAAACAAAGTCTAGAAAATTTGGCTGACATGTTAAGAGGAAAAATATGCAGTGCTGGAAAAGTAACTTTGTAAAAGGAATACAACAAATGTATAAATACAAGGGATCCAACATGTAATAATACTAATACTTTATCGAGTGACATACAGTCTTGTTGTTCACCAGTCTGTCTTTTATTATGCAAAGTTTTATTTTCCCTTTTTTCATTGTAGAAAAGGAACCCTTTTTAAAAACTGTAAAGCATTGCCAGGCCAGTGTGGCTCAGTGGTTGAGCATCAACCTATAAACAAAGAAATCAGGGTTCAATTCCCGGTCTGGGCACATGCCCAGGTTGCTGGCTCAGGAGGCAGCTGATCAATGATTCTTTCTCATCGTTGATGTTTCTGTCTTTTTCTCCCTCTCCCTTTCTCTCTGAAATCAATAAAAATAACTTTTAGAAAAACACACACAAAAAAACTTGTGCGGGGCTGAATAGATCATGGGTTTGATCCATTAGTAGAAAAAATATTTATTGAAGGTTCAGTATGGTGTTAGGCTTTCAATATAGTGGCTTCTGGTGATGGAAAGATGAATATTATGTGTTCTCTGCTCTCAAATTCCTCATAGTATCCAGTATGCCATTTGATGTCATTTGAAGGAAAGGCAAGAGCTTTGGGTAAATGTATTGGGGAAATCGTTGGAGTTACTTTTCAGATAATTCTGGATCTTTGCTAATTTTATAGACTATTGTATTTTCAGAATCAAAGCCATCTTGAGATCATCCAAGCTAACCACTCACCTAATAGTAATTTTTAGAATATCTTCTTGCCATGTGGTCTCCTAATTGCCACTTGTACATCCTTTTACTGATAGGTCAGCCATTTCCATTATTAGAAAACTCAGATTCTTAGAAAAAGTTTTCTTACATTGAGCCCCGGTTCACCACCTAGTAAACTGCCAATAGTTTTATCATACAGTTTTATCATACAGCAAATAAGTTTTATCATACAGTTTTATCATACAGTTTTACCATATAGTTTTATCATACAGTTTTATCATACAGCAAATAAGGCCACTGCACAGGGGTGTCTGTCTGAAGAGGGACTGAAATCCAGTCCTGTTCTGCTTGCAAAACCATGCACCTAAGGACTGCATCTACCCAGAAGTCGGTACCTTTTGCTATTTGGCCCAGAGATGCTGTATGGGCTAGACGGAGGCCTAACAGCAAAGCAGCATTTATATACTCCATATACTTCCAAACCACAGGCCTTTCCATCATACAGTTAGAGGGAAAACTCAAATTAAAAATCAAAGGTGCTAAATTTGATTCCTATCTCTAGGTAACTTTGAGCAAATCATTTAACATTTCAACCTCAGATTCATTATATATAAAATAAAAAAAACAAGTTTTTTTGTGTGTGTTTTTCTCTCTTTGCCTATCTTAATGATTCAAAAAGTTCTTGTTGAAGATGGTTCTCTGATCCACTATAGAATCAGAATTACTTCCTGTGACTGCATGTCATTTCTAATGTTTATAATATTTTGTCCACAGGGAGGCTGAGAAGACAAAACTTCTTATAGCTACCCAGAAACAAAAGGTGGTGGAGAAAGAAGCTGAGACAGAGCGGAAAAAGGCTATTATAGGTATTTGGATTTCTTTCTGAAATGGTTGTCTCTGTGTTGAGTTTGTCCTGTTCTTTGTCAGCTTAATATTAGATATTGATGGGACTCAAATAAGATTGAATCGCATAGTTTAGAATTCTGGAAACTTCTTTATACAGTCAGGTTTTCTGAAGCCTTTAAAAGCAGGTGAGGCCAGTCCGTAATAAAGTTCTTTGGCTCTCCACCACGTCATTGGTGCCACGACTGTTGTCTTCTTCAAGGACAGAGAAAGTAGACAGGATTTGGGACAGCTCTAGTCTCTGTGGAATACGATTTTTGTTTGTACAGATTTAGGAGAGAGAAGTTTTGGGCAAAAGCGCAAGATTATAGTATGTATCCTTGCTGTTGGCATGCAACTAGTTTTATCTGGATAGATGAATAATACCACCTCTGAAACCAGCAAGATTGCTTACAGGAACCAGTGACTTCCCTAACACTGCAGGGTACTGTATATTAAATTGCCATTTTGGCCCCCAGTTGTTTGTTCCTTGAATGCTGAAAGCTTACGGAGCTTTTCATTGAATATTTCAAGTATGCAGAATATACAGAGAACAATATAATGAAGGCTATTTAAGAAAATTATATATCTGTTTGAAGCCTCCTGTATACCCTTCCCTGGTCTTACTTTTTGACCCGTCTTCACAGAGTAGCTTGTATTCTGAAGTTGATGTATATCTTTCTACCCATATTTTTATACTTTCACTGAAAGAATGTGATAATTCACAGATTTTTTTAAACTACAAAAATGCTATCAGATTCTACCTCTTATTTCATAACTTGGTTTTTGTTGTTGTTAATTCTTATCTTGACTTTTAGAGAGTGAAAGGGATGAGGGGAGAGAGAGAGAGAAACATGGATGTGAGAGATCGGCTGCCTCCCACACACACCCATCTGGGGCCAGGATCAAGCCTGCAACGAAGGTATGCACCCTTGACTGGAATTGAATCCATGACCCTTCAGTCCTAGGGCCCACACTCTAATCATTGAACAAAACTGTCCAGGGCCTCAACTTACTTTTTAAACCAACATTATTTGAGTTTTATTCATATTGATGCATGATCTACTTCGTTTTTAATTACTGAGTATTTTCATGAGTAACCCTTGATTTATTCTGATAGATCACTAATGAATAGTTAGGTAGTTTCTAGTTTTTTCTTATTGCAAAAAAGTGCTGCAGTAATGCCCTTATCCAGGTTTTTTGTGAACACATGCAAGCATTTTCCTAGAGTAGTGTTATTCAACATATAGTGTGGATTAGTGCCCTGTCACCAACTTTTTGTTTCTGATCCACAATGAGAGGGGTACAGAAATAGAGAATGGGTGTTTAAAAATTCCTTCAGCTTTTTTTATGTCTGTTAAATCTAAATAAAAACTTGAGCTTGTGCTTTTGTTTTGAATATTTTTCTTAGTACTTCAGTTTTTTATAATTTAATAAAATATTGATTCCGAACAGGTTGAAATACCCCAAAAGAAGTGTGCTTTACCACAGATTCTTCTTAAATACATATCTCAAAGCAGAATTGCTGGGTCACAGGGTATATAAATCTTCTAATTTATAATCTATTGCCAAGTCACTCTCCAAAGTGGTTTTTCCATTCCACCTTCTGTTCAGCAGTATTTGAGTTTCAGTATACGTGTTGCCAAATTGAATCTCATTTCTGCACATCCTCCTCAACTCTTGGAGTTAGCAAACTTTAAAAAATTTATGCCAGTTTGATGGCGGACATTGTATCACATCATTTCAGTTGAATTTCCCTCAATACTATAAAGTTAAATGTTGTTTGTTATTGATTATTTAGGTTTCCCTTTTTTTGTAATATGTGAATTGCATGATAGTATCATTAGTCCATTATTTGATTACGTTTTTTGAACTGACTTGTAGAAGTTCTTTATATCTTCTTGATTTTAATCCTTTCCCATGTTTATACACTGCAGTTATCTTCTCTCAATTTGTGGTTTGTCTTTGAATTTTATGATGTTTTTGACATACATATATATTTAATTTTCAACTAGTTAGATTCATCAATTTTTTCCCTTTCTGGTTTGTGCTTTTCCCATCTTGCTTAGGAATTCTTTCTTAATAATGATTTTATTCTAAAAGTTTGTAGTTTTGCTTTTCATATTTCATATTCGTATTTATCTTGAATCTCTTTGGAATTTATTTTAGTTTTTAGTGTGACATAGGAACTCAAGTTTATTTGTTTCAAATGGCAAACCAGTTGGCTTCGGACTTAAATAGTTCATTATTTCCTTTATTTGTTTCTAATGCCACATTGGTCATACAAGTCTATATATATGGTTTGTTCTGTTGCTTGAGTCTATATTTTGTTTTAATTTCTTGGTCTAGCTTTCTCCAATAGTACCCTGTTTTAAATATTGTAAATTTTATGTTAAGTCTTTCCATCTGTGAGAGCAAGTTTCTCCCTAACTATTTCTCTTAACTGTCCCTAACTATTCCTAAAATTGGCTTGAAAACTATCGCAGGCCCTTTATTCCTCCATATACATTTTAGAACCAGTGCCTCAAGTTCTGTAAAATACAGTATTGGGGTTTTGATTGGAATTGTATTACTTGTATATGTCATTTTATAGAGAATTATAATATTTATGATATTGAGTCTTATAAATCTGTTGTATTTCTCCATTTATGAGAAATGTCTTCCAAGAACTGTCATTTTCTTCTTAAAGTTCTTGCATATTCTTTGTTAGAGATTTATTTCTATGTGTTAACTTTTTTGCTATTTATAAATATGCTTTTTTGAAGGTACTTTTTCTAAGTTTTTTGCTTTTGTATAGGTATGCTGTTGTTTTTTCACTTAGCAATCTTGTTCAAAATGATATTTCTAATAGTCTTGGAATTCCCATGTAAGCAATCATACTGTCTTCAAATCAGTTCTGTTTTTTCCTTTGTAGTCCCACATTTTTTAGTTCTATCTTACTGCTTTAGGCTATGCCTTGTTGAAAAGAAATATGGTAATGAGCATTCTTGTCTTGTTCCTAACTTTACATAGTCCCAATGATGTTGGCTGTACTTAACTTTTATTGGATTAGTGAAGTTTCCTTCTGCCTCTTACTTGCCAAGAGATTTTATCGTGAATGGCTGTTAAAACTTTTAGAATTTTTATGTATCTGTTGAAATGACCATGTATTTTTTTCTTTTTAAAGCTGTTAACATGGTGAATTATAGTAATAGATTTTCTATTACTGGATTATTTTGTCTTCCTAGAATAAACCCACTTGGTCATAATGTAGGAGGTTCACTCCAATACATTTCTCTATGTGGTTTGCTGGTTATTTCTGAAAATGTTTTTATTTTAATAAATGAGATCAGCTTATATATTTTTTCCTTCTATTCTTAATGTCAGGTTTTGTTTTGTTTTTGTATCATGGTTACATTAGCCTCAAAATAAGATGCAAAGCATTTTTTCTTTGCTAAAACATTTTGTATAAACTACATATTATCTCTTCTTTGTAGATTTGATGGAACTCACTTGTAAAAGCCATCTTGGTCCAGTGGGATTTGCGTTTGTTTGTTTGTTTGTTTGTTTGTTTGTTTGTTTGTTTTATATGCTTGGTTTTTTGTGGTAATAGTTAACTTACTGTTTTAATTTCTTTAATGTATATAGTTCTGCTTAGATATTTGTTTCTTTTTGAGTTCTGGTAGTTATATTTTTCTAGAAAATTGTCTAGTTCATCTGCTATTTCAAGTTTGGGGATATAAATTTGTAGAATTCTTTTTTGATTTTTAAAACCCTCTACCAAATTGATATGCTGTGCCCCTTTTTTTTTCTGAATCAATTTTGCCAGAGGTCTGCATTATTTTACTCATCTTTTCAAAGAACTGGATTTTACTTTGGTTGATTCTATTGTCACTTTTTAAAAAATAATATCATACTTATTTTTATTATTTCTTTCCTTCTACTTTTTTGAGCTTCTTGGTTCTTTTCTAACTTACTAAGTTACTTAATTCTTTAGTTTTCAGTATTTTCTAATGAAAATATGTAAGATTACATGTTTTCTAAATTCTTCTTTAGGTATACCTCAAATTTTGAAATGTAGTTTATTACTGATTTTCAGTTTTAATTTTTAAAAAAATATTTTCATTAGAATTTCTTTGCTTGGTGAATTATTAAGAAGGTTTTCAGGAGGCTACCTTTTCAGTGTTGATTTCCAGTAGTCAGAAAATATCTGTTATATGAATTCTTAAGTATTTGTTGAAATTTGCTTTGTGGTCTATGGTCCTTTTTTGGTAAATATTCTGCCTACTTACAAGACTAAATGTACGTTCTCTATATGCTGGATGCAGATTTCTCTGTATAACTATTAGGTGAGGCTGTATTCTTCCAATTTTTCCCTCGAGCTATCAGTTACTGAGAAAGGTGTGTTAAATCCCACTATGACTATGGATTTGTTAACTTACAATTTTTTTCTTTATGTGCTTTGGGGCTATATCATTAAGAGCATTCAGGTTTAGATTGCTATATCTCCTAGGAAAATTGCACCCATTATGTAGTAACCCTCTTTATCCCAAACATGTTTTTGGCTTAAGGCCTGTTTTCTGATAATATAGCTATATCAGATTTCTCATGATTAGTTATTTTCTTGTATCTTTTCGCATCCTTTTACTTTCAACTTTTCTATGTCATTATGTTTTAGGTGTGTCTCTTGTAAACAGCATATAGCTGGATTTTGTTATCTTATCCAATGTGAGAATCTGTCTTTTAACTGGTGAGTTTAGTCTTTTTATATTTATTGTGGTTACTGCTATGTTTGGGTTTGTTTATATTATTTAATTTTGTGCTATTTATCATGCATCTTTTTCTCTACTTATTTCCCCCCTCTTTTCTGATGGATATTGAATTGATTGGATTTTCTTTATTCTTTTACTTGATTGGAAGTTTTACATTTAGTTTTTAGAATTATAACTAGTCATGACCTGTAAAATGTTAACAAGTATATCTGACTTGACAAAGTCTAAAGTTATTCTATTCTCTTCTTGAATAAGACCTTAGAATACTTTAATTCTTATCACTGTCCTCCAATTTTTCATATTACTGTTGTCTAGTATTTTAGTTTCATGTTGTTTTTATTCCCCCATTAACAATCATCATCATTGATTCTTACATAAATATTTATTTCAATTTACATGTATTATGTAATTTTTTCTTCTCCATTGTTTTGGGCAATTCATTTTTTTTTTTCCTGCTAATTTTTTTCAGTGAAGGCTTAGAGTGGAAACTTGCTCAGTCTTCCTTGGTCTGAAATGGCCTTTGTTTCATTCTTGAATGATAATTTAGCTTATAATTTTAAACTCAGTTATTATTCTTTGTTACTTTGGTGGTATTATTTTATTTTGTTTTGCCTCTTCTTCTCTTTTTATTTTTAGGATTTTTCTCTTTGTCTTTGGGAATTCTCCAGTTTCACTATGATGTGTCCAGGTAGAAAAAAGCTTACTTCTCACTGGACTAGTAGAGTTTTTACTAATTAATTTCTTTATTTATTATAGTTTTATTGATTTCAGAGAGGAAGGAAGAGAAACATAGAAACATGAGTGATGAGAGAGAATCAATGATTGGCGGCCTCCTGCACGCCCCCTACTTGGGGACTGAACATGCAACCCAGGCATGTTCCCTGACTGTGAATTGAACCATGACTTCCTGATTCATAGGTTGATGATCAATCACTGAGCCATACTGGTCGGGCAAGATAGAGTTTTTTAGTCTCATTGGAGTTGCAGTTCTGTAGCTGTCTCTCTGTTGTATACAGGAGTCTCAGTTCCATCATCTCAAGGCCTCATCTTCTGGCCTTGCCTGAGCAATAACCCAAGTTCTTCTCCCTTACTTGTCTGATAACCACACCGGGGCTGCCACTATACAGACTCATCTCTCCCTTTGCTTATGTCTCTTGAAGAGATCCCTTTTTTTTTTTAGAATCTCAGCCCTGGTCTAAAAAACAAATTTTTTCTTAGAATCTCAGTCATCCATTAAAAAACAAATTTGTTGAATTTTACCTAGCACTTTAAAGCAGTTATTTTCAACCAGTGTGCCGAGGCAGGAACACTGGTGACCTGTAAGAATTTTTAATACCTGACTATTTAGTCAGGGCACTGACCTCTGTCCCTTAGATTGTCAAATAAAGAAATCACAACAGTGAACACAATAGTTGTCTAATGTGAATGAATCAATAGTATACCCTATTTTTGTCAGATTGACAAAAATATAGTTTTTGGTGTGCTGCAGAATTTTAGTAATGAGTTTATGAGTGCCATGAGATGAAAAGGTTGAAAGTTGCTCCTTAAGGTGTTGTTAGCTGAAGGATTTTTCTCATTAGCTTACTCCACCATTTTTCTAGACTAGAAGTTCAGACATACTCTTCATAGCTTCATCCACACACATCAAAGAGCAGTGTTAACTGGGGTTCTGGTGGCAGTGCCCTTTGTTGAAACACCAGTCTTGGGGTTCTTGCTGCAGATGCCAGATCCCCCCACCTTTTATTCAATCTTTATCTTGAGTTTCTGCGTATCACTAAATTTCTAGCCCAGTTGAATATAGTCTATCTTTGGGGTGGTATGATATAAATTGGCTTTATGGCTGATAGGGAAATGTGCCCTGGAGTAGTTGAAAAAGACTACTATCTTCTAGAAAGAAAAAAACCATGCATTTCCTGTGGTAAGTGCATAAAAATGTGTTAAAATATTCACCTTCTTTGAGAAGGAGAATTGAGAACGTTCTTTAAGAGATGCAGTGATTGAAATAAAAATTTAATTAGCGTCTTTCTCCCTTGGTCCTGGATCCTTTGATTGGCCCAGAGGTTTACTAAGAAGGTTTCTTATTTTCCCCACCTGTGACAGCCTGCTGCAGCTAACGTGTTCACTCCCGCACTGCTTTTACGTTCTCAGATGAATTATCCTTCTTCCTCTTTTACCTTCCTTGCCAGTCAGAATATTCCTTCTCTGATATTATTTTCATCGTGTCATTTCCTTTATGGCAATTTAACAGTTGGTCCTGAGCATATTAAAGTCTAAATTCCTTAGGCTGTCATTCAAGACAGGTATCTTTTAGCCCTCTTTCTATTCTTATTTTTTGTTGTATCTCTTGTCAGCTGACTCTGTATACCTCTCACTTGCTCATTCGTACCTTCTTTGTTTACACCTTCTGCCTTGTCCACCTAGGTCATGTCCATTATTTTATTTAAGATTTCTTCTAGAAGGCCCTCCTTCGTGTAACTTAGCTTTCTTTCTCCTGCCACATTATATTAATTGTCCTACCCTGCCATGCATTTCTGTTGCTCTGTTTTTGTTCTGAGGACTATGATGAAGTATCTTTTCCCCCCATTAGCGTGTGGACCATTGCTATTTAATCCTTTGAGGAACTATTACCTTTTGTATTCCCCTGCCCACAAAATGAGCACTGTCAAAATAGAACCGCAAAGTAGGAAATAGACTCCTCGTTTTTCCATCGAGTTGTTTGTTATGTGGTTAGATAAATTTAATGAAACAGTCCATAACACCTTATGTAAGTAAACGTTAGATTGTGTGCTGTTGATTCTATGTACTTGTGCAGCTAGCGAAATGTTTTTGAATGTGTCTTCTTTTGTATGATTATAGAAGCAGAGAAGGTTGCACAAGTGGCAAAAATTTGGTTTCAGCAGAAGGTGATGGAGAAAGAAACTGAGAAACGCATTTCTGAAATTGAAGGTACATCAAGAAAAAAGAGGCTCTGTCTATTCTAGTCTGCCTCTCTGCCCCAGGGGTGGGGCTCTGTGGTGGGTGGGAAGGCCATAGACGGAATAGTCTGTAGAAAGTGACTGACTTGATATTCTAGATTTTTTTTTAATTGCCATTACATATCTTAGCTCTTGGTTTGGTCTGTGACTTTGGCTAACTCAACCTTTCCTTTTCCAACTTAAAATACGGCTTATTAGCTCCCACTTTGTTCTCAGGCAGTATGATAATTACCCATAATCGGTTGTAAAGAATGTATATGATGAGAAACCCCAATACAACCAGTTTCTTTCCTGCATGTCAATGAAAAAAACATAAAATTAGCTGGGGGGGAAAGGAAGCCACAGTTTTCACAGAGCTCTCAAACTCCTTTATTTCACAGTGGGATGTTGCTGTTCTTAGCTCATAGTCTTGAAGACCAAACATTCAACCTCTTCTGCTTATATACTGCTACTTTCTATTGTTTGGATCAAATACAGTAAATAGAGCAGAGCTCTTCTGTCTGGATTTAATTATTTCACTTGAAGCTAAGAGTGGGGTGGGAGTTGAAATAGGTGCTAACAGCAAGTGAATCTTGTCACCTTTGGGGGCTGTGACTGCGCCTCTCAAAGTGAATTAGAAGGTTCTACGCTCCTGGTGGAGGAAAAAAAAAAAAAAAAGAGTGGGGTGGGGTGTGATGCTTTGGGTGATGAGGGTGGAGGAAAGAAAGAGCAATTTTAGGTGGAAAATGAAGTGGGCTTAGCTGAGCTGGGATTTGTTCATCATTGACAAGAGTATTCCCATTTAAGTCCTCAGAAGCTGAGGACTGGGATTTGAAAACTGCTAGAGTTGTTACTGGTATATGCTTTTAAAGTAAAGTAAGTGATCAAAATATCAGGCAGTGGAGAAAGGGACTGTTACCTAAAGTAGAGTCTGAACTTGTTACCCATCTGAGGAAATAGATCACAAGTTTCCTTTGTTTTAAATACCCTGTGTTGTTTTGCTAGATGCCGCTTTCCTGGCCCGAGAAAAGGCAAAAGCAGATGCTGAATATTATGCTGCACATAAATATGCCACATCAAACAAGGTGACTGGCTCTCTGTGCCACTCTCCTAGTAATACAGTTTGGGGTGTTGGTTTCTCTTGTGGGGGGCTCTAATATGATAAAGAAGATTTTATCCAGTGTCAAGAAAGGGTAGTTACTGTCACACCCTCTAGAATCAGCCAATAGACAGGGAATTTTGTATATTTGCGTGTAAAAAATGGGGAACTATGACAAAGGCAAGCAGATATATAAAAATACATGCCATATAGCAAGCACGTCAAACTCGCAACCCATGGGCCTCATGTTACCCACATTGAATATTTTTGCAGCCCAGCTAATATAATGATATGCAAGAAACGTTTTAATAAAAATTTCATAACTTAATTTTTACAATGTCCTGTTATATATAATTATTAATGAGCTACTATGTTCACTCTTGACTGATTACTATAATTGTGTTCATAATAATTCATTTCCCTTACATGCCTTGCACATAGGCCCACCATTTCTCTCCACTAATACTAGCAACGAATAGTTTAGCAGCCCATGTCATTAATCTTGAACTGACTTGTTTGGTGTGTGCAATAGGAAATAGTTCGCTTTCAGAAAACAAGAAAAATAGAAGTTTGTGATATGCTTTTTAATTTATGTAGTTATTCAGTGTCTGGTAAGTTAATGTTCAAGAAAAATATTAATTTTTATTAAAATGTTCTATTATTTTATGTTAACAATTACTCATTTATTTTAGTCCTTTGTATTCAGTATGTCTCTATCGAAATTTATGTCTCTATGAAAATTGAAGCTTTTGTTTTTTTGTGGCCCACACAAATTTAAACCTTGTTTATTTGGCCCGTATTAGCCTTTTTAGTTTGACATGCTTGCCATATGGCCATTCATTTGTACTGCTGTATAAGAATTCAATAATCAAGAAAATTGAGGGGCTTCTGAAATGACAAAAAGAACAGAAGAGTAAAGTTTACTTAGAATTGCTTCCCAGAGGAGGTAGGTTTTTGAGTAAGCTTGTTAAAGCAGTGTTTCTCATCAGAGACATTCTTGGCATTTTGGAGTGAGATACTACTTAATTGTTGAAGATCATCTTATGCATTAGGGGATATTTTGCACCCAGGCCCTTGCCTACTAAATGTCACTAGTGTTTGCCAATTATTTTAATAGTCAGTGCCCCTCCCACACACACGTATTTCAAGTGCTACCAATTGAGTATTGCTTATTTACTGGGCTTTTTAAATGTTCTAGTCATGAGGCATTTTATGTGTAATAACTTGAGAAAGAAGGTTGGGTGCTGTATGGGTGACCAATTTTTGTGAAGGGACTAGGGTAAGTTTAGGTCTAGAGACTACAGGCCTCGTTAACAAGAATTATTTATTAAGAGGCAGCAAGAACCCCTATGGCTTTCTGAGAAGGGAAGATGAACAAGGTTTATAAGGTTATTGGTTGTAGAGTAGATTGGACAGAAAGAATGGAGACAGAGTTTGTTAAAGTGTAGGATATAGTTTCCAGGATTACAGTAAAGATTGAATGTAGAGACAGAGCTTAAACTCTTTTGATTTAGAAAAGAGCAAAATAATCTGTATTCAGAAAAAATGATAAGACTTGAAATTCAGTATGAATTTAGAAATACACTTAACATATTGGAGGACACAGCTCTATAGAAACAGAATGTAGTTAGGTCAAGATGAAGGCGAGATGAGAAACCTGAGTTTGCAAAATTAACATTTCAAATCTATCATGGGATAGTCTGACCAGGCACAAATATCCACATCTTGTCGTGAAATCAGCTTATGCCAAAAGGGCAGCAAGCAGTTTTATGTCACTTTGAAAATGCTATCCAGATATTGACCTATAATAATAAGGCTTTAGGAAGTAATTTGTTTATACACGGTGAGCAGATTTAATGGCAGTGTTTCAGCAGGGGCTATGAGTCAGCTGGAAAAGGTGTAGGTCCAGGAGTGGAAGACATCAGAGGTTGTGAAGAACAAGATGGGCTTTTGCCTGGAGGGCAGGCTGGGACTTGAGTTGAGGAGAGAATCCCTAGGGAAGGCTCTGAGAGGCTGTGGAGTATATTTTAAGGATCATTGGAAATAAATAAGTTTTAATCAAACTCAGAGACATTGTGATTGGATATGTCTTAGCATCACGATTTAAACAAGACATTGTGACAAGAAGAGAAACATGATGATTGACAAACATCTGTCCATCACAAACAATTAAACATTCAGTTTCTGGGTAGAGGCAAGAGCCCAGACCAGGTGATTTCTTGAGATATTTTCATTTCTGAAATGTGATCAGGAAAACCAGAATCACAGGTGATTGATATAAGTTTCTGAGCCCAGGCTCTTCCTTTGAAGCTCTGCCACTCCCATCCATTGACCTGTTCATATATCAGGAGAGCCAGCACAAATTCCAGACCTATCCCAGGTTGGATGAAATTCAGCTGGATGAAATGAAAAAGTACATATGGAAGTACTTCAGCAGTCACAAGTCACTATGGAAATGTTATCATCATTACTTAGTTATCATTCATTGTTCCTCAAAATCATCCCAACTTTTTTTTTTAAATTAAAAAATAAACAGATTTTCCTACATTATAACAACTTGTTGAAGGAACTTCAAGTCTGGAATATAGCTATTAATGTGATAGCCACACTTCAAAGTGAGAGAGAGTCATTGCAACAATTCAGATTTGAGTAATATCAGTAGAGCAATGGGGAAATGTGTGTAAGGAAATAGAGGGATGAATATTGCACCCAAGTGTCCTCATGCCTCTGCTCCTGTTTGTCCCCACACAGCACAAATTGACCCCGGAGTATCTGGAGCTCAGAAGGTACCAAGCCATTGCTTCTAACAGTAAGATCTACTTTGGCAGCAACATTCCGAGCATGTTCGTGGACGCCTCTTGTGCTGTGAAATATTCAGATGTTAGGACTGGAAGGAAAAGCTCTCCTCTCCTCTCTAAGGATGCTGCTGAACCCTCTGGAGAGAGCCCTGTCCAAAAGAAGGAGAGCATAGGTTGATGCAAGAAGTGGAAACGTTCTCCCATATCAAGATGTGGCCCAAGGGGTTCTGTGGGAATAATGGTTACTCGACTCCCTGTGCTCATGAGTTCTGCCTCTCCTGTGGTAGTCCTGGCTATCAGCTGATTCCAGGAGAGAGCCAGCTCTCTGGCACCCAAATGGTCTTTTCAGCCACAGCTTTATCAAGTGTGCTGTGTGTGATCCTTGCTAAACGGTACTCATGAAAGAAGGAAAGTCTAATGCTAAGATACTGCCTGCACTGGAATGTTAAACACTAAATACATAACAAGCTGATCTATTGAATAATGTTTACATGGTCTCGGGGGAAATGTGTGCTCAGCCACTCAAGAGCTAGAAGGCCAGAGAGAAGACGGCCAGGATGTGGTAAGTGTAAAGAAGACTCACTACACCTGGGATCCAGGCTTGCTTTAGGGTCTGCAGTGTACATCCATGTGATTAGCGTCTAGGCTGCTGAAGTTCCCCAGGAAATGATCTTCCAGTTGAGCAACCATTTACTTGATACAATTTGCACCTTTTTGTTTTCCTGCAGTCAAGTTGGTGGCTTGCTGGGACATGCACCTTGCCACTCAACCAGATTCCTTGTAGAGATTCCTACTCACTAGTTTATTGCATTAGTAGGCTCAGAGATAGAGCTTGGTTTAAAGTTTTGGATAAGATGAAATGTTGGCTTTGAATCAAAGTTCTGGGGACCTGAATTCTCCTCCATTGAGTAATGATCGTCTGTGTCACTGCCTCAGGCTGTGTGTGACTTAGGTACTTGGTTTCTTGTCACAGCCAACTCCTTATAAGTCACCTCTCAGCTCTGGATGGCCAAGAGCAAGACAGGGCTTTACCAGAAATAGGAGCAGCATATACAATTCCTAGCTATTCACTGCACAATATTGTATTATAACTGCAGGAAGTTTTTAAACTGGATTTGGGGTACATTCATTTGCCCTAGTACCTCTGCCTAAAGGCTATATTCTAGGCTGCCATGGTTACTAGCACACTATTCTCCTTCTCAATATTGTTCATCAGGAGCCTACTTAGTGTGGAACAAAGAGTAACTTGGTCATTTTTGTCTCCTTCCCTATTGGCCCTGAGATGCTGAAATCAAAGTTGTTCTCCAGCTTCACCTTCCCTAGGAGGTTAGGATTCCACTGACTTCCTGGGCAGCCAGTGGTTTAATCTTCCGTGAGAGAATGACATTAATCTGTGGCTAAGAGACCCATTTCACCTGGACATTTTTTTCCTTAAAGATAAACTTTCTGAAAATAGTGGGCCCCATAGTTAGGCCTGAGTATATGCAGCTTGTTAAGACCTTTTGTGTAGACTTTGTTCAAGCCAGACAGAAAGTCCTGGGATCCTTCCAGCAACCTCTCAGCTGACTCTCAGTCTCATGACAGTTGTGAGTTGTGCCAAACACACTATGTGGGAATGGAATCACAGATTTGAGTGGGTCTTTTCCTTGGGCCTTATCCTATAAAAGCATTTGTAATATGGAGAGAATCATTTTTTCATTTTTGCTCATTGTATGCATTCTCTTTTTGAGTGAATTTTGTGTTCTCTAGCCCTCAAAAGAACTTTTGAACTAAAAATAAACTCTTCATCTGTCATATATTGTTGCTGCAGATAATGATTGTTGTGGGAAACTTGGATCATTGGTTTTTGTGCTTTCATTACTAGAGATGTTTTCTATTCCCAGGAGCTAAAAGTTGCTGCCCCAAAGTGATGGATGTGGGTTATCTTACAAGCCACAAGCCGCGGTGGCAGAGTTGAGGGCAGGGAAATCACATGGTGAAGTTTTAAAGAAAGTACTTCCACTTGAAGCGTGCTTCCCTGTGCTCACTCGAGCACTAGGTCTAGTCCTCCTTCAGGGATGTTCCTTTTGGCAAATATATACTGTAATCTTGAGTCTAAATTTATATGTGAAATGCTACCTTTTTAAAAAAAAAAAAAAAGAAACTAAATAAAATTATTTTACTATCAGTGATTTGTGTTTTCTGTATGTCTCCATTCTTTTCTGTTGTCTTAATATGCTTCCAAAACTTTCTTGCCCATTTCACAAGGTAGCCCTTTATTTAGTAGTTTTACTTAACTATAGAGGCTTTTCTTATACCTCTCCCAGAGCACTGCCTCCTTAGTATGAGAAATGTTAAATAATTTTAAAATATTTTTAATTACAGTTGACATTAATTTCAGCTATATAATAGTGAGTAGACATTTCTATAACTTATGAAGTGATCGCTAGTACCTGGCATAAGAATTTTGAAAGAATAGTTTCCATTTTTCTTGACTCGTGGAATTTACTAGGTGTACCAGTTAATAATGTGGATTTTTTTTCAATAGATGGAGTTACACATATGTTGATATATTATATATGTAATTTGATATGTATGTTATATTGTTGAATTGCTCTTAAGATTACCACTTGTTCCGATTGATGGCAAATCTCAATGAGTTGGCCCAGCCTCTCAGCTTTCTCCTGGTCTGTGGTCTTTGAATAAGCCTTTAGAACTACAGTTGGCCCTTGAGCTACCCTGCAAGTCAAAATTCTGCATATAATTTACTATTCCCAAAAGCCTTACAGGTAACAGTTGATTAACATATTTGTATGTTAATATGTATTACATATTATTATAATAAGGTAAGGTAGAGAAAAGAAAATGTTATTAAGAAAATTGTAAGGGCCCTAGCTGTTTGGCTCAGTGGATAAAGCATTAGCCTGTGGACTGAAGGTTCCTGATTCGATTCTGGTCAAGGGCATATGCCAAGGTTACAGGCTTGATCCCCAGTAGGGGAAGTACAGGAGGCAGCCGATCAATGACTCTCTCATTCGTGTTTCTATCTCTCTCCCTATCCTTTCCTCTCTGAAATCAATAAAAAATATTTTTAAAGGAAAATACAGTTAGAATATTTATTGGGGAAAAAAATCCATGTGCAAGTGGACCCATGCAACTCAAGCCCATGTTGTTCAGGGGTCTGCTATAGATACTATTAATTCATTGCTCACACAGAATGACATTTTACTTGTTTCCCTTATGTCTCTTTGGAATTTGTACCTTTCTTTTTTCCTATTGATTCATTTCTCTACTTCCCATCGCCTATAAACTGTCCTCCTGAAGCTTATATGTTGAAGCCCTAACCCCCATTGTGATGGTATTTGGAGAGGCGGCTTTTGGGAGGTGAACAGGTGAGGGTGGAATTGGTTCCCTTATAAGAAGACACACAAGAGAGATGTCTGTCTCTTGGTTATGTTGAGGATACAGCAGGAAGCGGGCTCTTGCCAGACTCCAAGTCTCTGGCACCTTGATCTTGGCTTCCCAACCTCCAAAACTAAGAGAAATACGTTGTTTAGGACATCCAGTTTATGGCATTTTGTTACAGTAGCCTGAGCAGACTAAGACACCATTTACTTCTATTATTTATCTTCAATTTCTTTCCTTCCTTTCTTCCTATAAGTAATTATTGAGCATCTAGAATGTGCTCATTGCCAAGGCAACAATAAGGCTTATAATCTTGTGTGGGTGGGGTTTGGGGGTTTGGCAAGCAAATAAAAGGCACTTGTAGTGTGGTAAATAACACTGCAGAATGGACACTGGATGCAAAGGGCATAAATGAGGGTCAGACCAGCCTAGTGGTTTCTAGGAGGCAATGTCAGGTTTTAGCCAAAATTTTAAGGATATATAAGAGGTAGCCAGCCAGCTATAGAGATGGTGATGGTGTAGTGTGTTCCAGGCAGTGGGAGCACCAGATGGTATTTTAAATGCAATTCACTGTGTCCCCTTGCCTCAACAGTGCCATGCCTGCACTTCACATGTGTTTCACTGCAGGGATCCTCTGCAGTATGGAAGCTGCAGGCATTCTACACTTATATTCAACTCAGATACGCCCCAAACCGTCTCCAGGAACACCCTCAACCAGTGGGAGACAGGAGCCCAAGTGGTCAGGGAGGAGGTGACCTTTAAAACCTTTCTAATGGAGACAACTACCCTCCTGACACAATACAAGAAACAATGTGAATATCAAATATAATTCAATGTTTGAGTGCCTGGTATATATCGGGAAACCTAAATCATTTAAATTATTGGACCAACAGTGAACAAACTAGGGAATAAGATAGATAATGTTGTGGAGCAAACACAAGTAAAGACCACTGGAGTCCAAATTAAAATTTAGGGAGCTTTTATTAGCCAGCTGGCCAGCTGACCACAGTGAGTCCAGAGAGCAGCAGCGACCGTTTGTGTAAGACCACTTTTTAAAAATATATATTTTATTGATTTTTTTACAGAAAGGAAAGGAGAAGGGATTTTTTACAGAAAGGAGAGCCAGAAACATCAATTAGCTGCCTCCTGCACACCCCCTACTGGGGATGTGCTCACAACCAAGATACCTGCCCTTGACCAGAATCCAACCTGGGACCTTTCAGTCCGCAGGCCGATGCTCTATCCACTGAGCCAAACCGGTTTGGGCTGTAGGACCACTTTTAAGTCTATTAACCACATCCTATTTTCGTAGAACAAGTAATCCAAGACAAAACAGTTTTTCCTAAGCTATGTCAGGGTCATGCCATTGACAACCATGTTATTCACAGGGTCATCCTGTTCTTCAGAAAGCTAACAGTGTTCTATGAAAGAAGGCCTACGTGCTGGGAAGGGACCATGAGACCCTATCTCAAGGCCTGGCCTTGGTGTCAGCACTGACAACTCTATCTGGGGCACAGTCCACAGCCTCTGTGGAAGCATGCTCAAAAACTCCCGCTCTTCAACAATACCATCTCTGCTCCAAGAGTGAACAGTAATGTCAGCTATGGACTTAGCTGTTGGCTCATGGGTTGTAACAAATAACCACTCTGGTGCAGGATTTTTTTAAAAAAATATATATTTTATTGATTTTTTACAGAGAGGAAGCGAGAGGGATAGAGAGTTAGAAACATTGTTGAGAGAGAGTCATCGATCAGCTGCCACACACACACACACATACACACACATCACTGGCCAGCAACCAAGGCACATGCCCTTGACCGAAGTCGAATCTGGGACCTTTCAGTCCGCAGGCCAACGCTCTATCCACTGAGCCAACGGGTTTCGGCTGGTGCAGGATTTTGATGTTGGGGGTTGGGATATATAAGAACTCTGTATCTTCCGCTCAGTTTTGCTGTGAATCTAAAACTATTCTAAAAAAAACAAAGTGTTAATAAAAGAAACAGTTTATTTTTTAAAAAGTCCTTTCAAGATTTTTAAGCAAGGGATGATATGTCTATGTTGTTTTAAATCTGCCCTTTCCCAACATGTTTCCAACATCTCACTATTTCTTCACCTGCTTTCAACATCCAAAGCAACATTAAAGTCCTAACTGTTTAAGCATTTCCAAGTCAATGTTTACCTCACTGTGAAATGTCTGCAAATGAATTCCTGGAAACAACTTAGCAATCGTATCAGTAGACAGGTTCCACAGAAGGTGCTTGAAGGAATACAGAAATGTATCAGAGGCCCTTAAACTAATCATCTTTGCCTGAGTTCTCCCTGTTTAAACGCATCAGAGGCTGTGCTCCATACCAGCTCACAAGCCCCCAAGCTAATGGATCCACTAGTGCAGGCTAATAAGCAATTTTGTTCAACAGAAATAGTCTCTTATGAGAAATAGAGATGGCTCTGAAATAAGTGGAACACATAAAGTTCAAAAAACCATTTAATGAATTTTTGTGCTTAATACATATTTAATGTTTATAATAATAAGTAATAGAAAACCACAGTAGACTTCTTAGAATTTAGAAAAAGACTTATTATAGTAAAAATTCCCCATAAAATAGTGTATAAACATTGTTAATAGTAAGACTTACCTCAAAGGATAAATCAATAAGAAGATTAATTATCTTAAATGTCAATACAAATGAGATAACATTTTTCAAAAACCATCTTAGTGAATGTTTTTTTTTCTTTATTGTGATAAAATATACATGAAATTTACAATTTTAACAGTTTTAAGATGTACATTTCAGTGGTATTAAGAGCATTCACAATTTTTAAAATATATTTTTATTGATTTCAGAGAGGAAGGAAGACGGAGAGAGAGATAGAAATCAATGAGAGAGAATAATTGATTGGCTGCCTCCTGCATACCACTACTGGGAATTGAGCCTGCAATCTAGGCATGTGTTCTTGCCAGAATCGAAACTAGGACCCCTCAATCCGTAGGCTGATGCTCTATCCATTGATCCAAACCAGCTGGGGCCATTCCCAATTTTTGATGAGGGCATCATTGATCAGCTACCTCCTGTGTGCCTCCTACTGGGGTTTGAGGCTACAACCCAAGTATGTGAACTAGTTCATAGGTCAACGCTCAACCATTGAGACACACTGGCTAGGCTCCAGAACTTTTTGAATCATTCCAAACAAACTCTGTACCCATTAAACACTGACACCCCATTTCTTCCTCTCTTAGGCTCTAGCAACTTCTAGTCTACTTTCCATGTCCATGAATTTAATTTTTCTAAGTACCTCATATAAGTGTAATCATAAAATATTTGTACTTTGTGTCTGACTTATTTCACTTAGTATCATGTCTTCATGCTATAGGAAATGTTAGAATTTCACCCCACTTTTAAAAAATATTTTTTATTGATTTCAGAGAGGAAGGGAGAAGGAGAGAGAGAAAGAGAGAGAGAGAGAGAGAGAGAGAGAGAGAGAGAGAGAGAGAGAGAGAGAGAAACATCAGTGATGAGAGAGAATCATTGATCGGCTGTCTCCTATACACCCGCTACTGGGGATTGAGCCCACAACCCAGGTATGTACCCCTGACTGGAATTGAATCTGGGACCCTTCAGTGCATAGGCTGATGCTCTATCCACTGAGCCAAACAGGCTATGGGTCTTCATCCCTTTATAAAAGTGACTAATATTTTATTGTATGTATATATACTACCTTCTTTTTATCCATTCATCTGTTGATGGACATAGTAGACTCTTAACTGGTGAGAAACATGAAAAAAATGATGTTTGAGAAAGATGACTCTGACAGCTCTGTTTTTCCAAATCAGATTTCAGATATATGATCTATTTCCCACCCAAATTTATCAATTTAATTATTTGAACAGTTTAAGAACATTATAAAAAATAAATGCAACTTTATAGTTAATAAATCACTCGTGCTGTAAGAAGAAAAGTACATGCAATGAAGATGCTTAGAAAATCCAAAGTCGCAGATTTTGTTAATGAGAGGGAGAAGCCATGAGTCTTTCTTGATCTTAAGTTTCAGCAAAGTAAATAAAGCCCAAATCAATTTCCAGGGTTTTTCTGTTTGTTTGTTTGATTAGTGTTTTGTTTTTTTTCCAAATCCAAGAACTGCCAAGTCACACCCCAAGTCACTAGACTTCGCACTCGAACAGTTCTTCATTCGAGTAGCTGCGATGGGGCTGCTGGGAATCACTACTCCTGTTTTTATTATTTTTGTTATTTGCCTGGTTTTCCTTTGGGTGTGGAAAGAAGGTCGCAAATGGGGACGGCTACCACCGGGCCCAACTCCCCTTCCCATCATTGGGAATCTGATGCAGCTAAACCTGAAGGACGTCCCTGCATCTCTCTGCGAGGTAAGGGGGGTTCATTCCGGGGCTGGCCATTGTCAGGACGAGGGGCACCTTCATCTTCCGGCTCTATCCCTGAGGCCACGGCAGGCTGGCTCTCCTACCTCAGTCTTTCTTAGTTTGCCTCCCCACCGAGGCACTTCGCGGTGTCCACTTCGTATTACAGACATGCATCCTCTTCCTTTCTGGACTGGACACTTCCAACCAGGGAGTGAGGTATGTTGACCAGAAATGTAGGTTGGATTTTAGTGTGTGAGAAAATTCTGCAATCAGAACTTACTTTAATTGAAAGGCTTCCAATCCCTTCAACATATAACACCGAAAGCCCAGCAAATGTAAAAATGTGTCAAATGTCCTATATGATTATTATTGTTGCATCTATTTTATACTAAATGACCTATTGGAGGTGTGATCCTCACTCCCCTCCCTAACATCTCACTCTGATACAGCCCAGCTCTGCTACCCTGACTGACATTCATTCCTTGGCAAATATGAGAAAATATTTTTTTAAATATATTTTATTGATTCTTTTTACAGAGGGGAAGAGGGATAGAAAGTTAGAAATATCGATGAGAGAGAATCATCTATCAGCTGCCTCTTACATACCCCCTGTTGGGGATGTGCCCACAACCAAGGTACATGCCCTTGACTGGAATCGAACCTGGGACCTTTCAGTCCGCAGGCCAACACTCTATCCACTGAGCCAAACCGGTATCGGATGAGAAAAGATTTTATCAACAGCAGTAAATCGTGCAAAAATATATTCTCCAAAACAGCCTAAATGTCTATCAATGGATAAATAAAGAAAATGTGGAATATCTGTCATCTATCATCTATCACCTATTCTGTCTCACACACATGGAATATTACGTAGCCTTAAAAGAAGGAAATCCTGCTATTTACAACAACATGGATGAGTCTAGAAGACATTATCCTAAGTAATATATAAGACACAGAAAAACAGCCGAAACCAGTTTGGCTCAGTGGGTAGAGTGTCGGTCTTCGGACTGAGGGGTCCCAGGTTTGATTCCGGTCAGGGGCATGAATCTTGGTTGCGGGCACATCCCCAGTAGGGGGTGTGCAAGAGGCAGCTGGTCGATGTTTCTCTCTCATCGATGTTTCTAGCTCTCTATCTCTCTCCCTTCCTCTCTATAAAAGATCAATAAAATACATTTTTTTAAAAAGACACAGAAAAACAAATACGGCATGATCTCATGCATGGGATCTAAAATAGTCAAACTTAGGGCCAAAACCGGTTTGGCTCAGTGGATAGAGCATCAGCCTGTGGACTGAAAGGTCCCAGGTTCAGTTCCAATCAAGAGCATGTACCTTGGTTGCGGGCACATCCCTGGTAGGGGGTGTGCAGGAGGCAGCTGGTCAACGTTTTTCTCTCACCAATGTTTCTAGCTCTCTATCCCTCTCCCTTCCTCTCTGTAAAAAATCAATAAAATGTATTTTTTTAAAATTAAATAGTCAAACTTAGGGAAGTAGAGAGCAGAATGGTGTTTGAAAACCATACTCCAATTGTTGGCTGGGTTTTTTTATTTTATTTTATTGTTTATTACTAAGAGTATTACACATGTCTCCTCCCGGCCTCCCCAACCCCTGGCACATTCCCCTACCCCCCTGGTGTCTGTGTCTTTCGGTTATGCTTATATGCATGCATGAAAGTCCTTCGGTTGACCTCTTACTCCCCCACCCCCACCCGCCAACCCTCCCCTGCCTTCCCACTGAAGTTTGATACTCTCTTTTTCTTCTTGGAACAATGCTATCATAACTACACAGGTTTCTTCCTTTTTCTTACCTGCTTAGTGAGCTCTCCACAAGTTCATGTCCTGGCTGCTTCCTTCTCATCTTTAGTTGAACCTTAAATCTTACCTCCTCATAGATTCCTAACCTCTCTGTTTTATTGTTTTCCCATTATCATCCAACATAGTACACTCTATCACTTTCATAGAATGATGCTCAATTTGTATTGCAAATATCGTTTGACAGTTCGCTGCCTGTCACTTTCGCTAGACTCAAAATTCAATGGGGGCTCCTGGACTGTACACAGGGTCAGACACAGAACAGGTGCTTAGTAAATATTTGCTTAATGGTTGCATATTACAAATGAAGGGAAAGGTGAATCCATGACTATACCCTGGGTTAAATTTTTAAAATGCAATGGATGGGGCAAAGTCTAAGCTACATATAAATTATTACTTAATTTCTACCCAAGTCTCCAGTGGAGAGATTTTGCAATCGTGTTTACACAACTGCTTGAATCTTTCTCCAGTTAGCCAAAGAGTACGGCCCTGTTTACACGTTGTACCTTGGACCCACACCCATTGTGGTCTTACATGGATATGAGGTGGTGAAGGAAGCTCTGATCGATCAGGGTGATGAATTCCTTGGCAGAGGACCTATTCCAATTATCTCAGATTTCCAAAAAGGACATGGTAAGTTTCAAATCAAACTGTGGGTTCATTTTCTTTAGCAAAAAGATGACTAACAATAAGTGTCTGAACTACACCAAGCAACTGATTAGATACTACAATACTGCAATGTAATTTTGAGTTTGTACAAACTCCATAGGTTAAGGGCATTATCCCCCAAAACACTAAGCTCATTTAGATGCTAGATATAAGTTCAGGGGTTCCCAGGTCATCCATACTTCTGACCAACTGGTGAAAAACTCAGGGATACCCATGACCTCCTCCGGTTTGAAAATTGGTAAAATAATTCACAGAACTCGGGAAGGTGCTAACTTGTTATTACAGTTTTATCATATGAAGGACGCAAATGAAGAGACACAGAGGGCAAGGTTTGAGAGGGTCCCAAAGGCAGAGCTTCTGTTTCTGTGTCCTCTCCCTAGAAATCAGAATGTTACCCATTGACACGTTCACCAACCAGGAAGCTCACCCTGAGCTTTGGTGTCCAGAGTTATTACGTGACCATGACCGATTGAGTCACTGATTACATGAGGGAACTCAATCTCTAGCTCTACTCCCTGAAAGTTGAGAGATCAGTTGATATCCTTTGGTTGAATAATACCCCAACCTTCTAAATCCATAGTTGGTCTTTCTGGCATAGCCAGCTCCATCTTTGTTTTTATTTTCATTAATCAATACTTGACATATGTAATATATATACCTCAAAACCACTTAAAATTATAAAATTGCAATTCCCAGAGAAATGTAAACTTAATTCCATTAAGGAACAAAATTCAACTGAGTAAAGTTGAAGCTCTAATTGGTTTTAGGAAGCTATTCATGTTTTGGACAACATCTCGTATATCATTGAGGATGTTGTACAAAATGTAAGGTGCTAATAGATGGGCGTGGGAGTTAATAGCAAAGGAAAGAAATAACTCGTTTTAGGCCAGCTCGCCTATTTTTTTGTAGAAAGGGAATGGCAGGAGTTTTATGCAGATCACCTTGCTGGAATAGATGAGGAAATTCTGGGCTGATTGGTTTAAAATTCCTCTCCTGAGAGAGACTGAAACTGCAATCAGGTTATTAAGTGTTGGGTTAGTGACTGGCTTAGCAAAAGTGACTCCATTTTGGCCTGTATTTATTTTATTTTTTTAAAAACATATATTTTATTGATTTTTACAGAGGGGAAGGGAGAGGGATAGAGAGCTAGAAACATATATGAGAGAGAAACATAGACCAGCTGCCTCCGGCACACCCCCTACTGGGGATGTGCTCGCAAGCAAGGTACATGCCCCTGACCAGAATCGAACCTGGGACCTTTCAGTCCACAGACCAACGCTCTATACACTGAGCCAAACCGGCTTCGGCTGTATTTCTTTTATTAACAATTCCCCCCTTTGATCAAACTTCAGTCTGAGAGATACAGTCAAATTGTCAGTCATTAAGTGCCCTCTCCACTCCTGCTCCGTGCCTATGGGAGATTTTATTGATCTGTGTGATATTCACAGGTCATGATGTTTTTGTTTAACCCGTGTGATACTCATAGGTCACATCTTCGGATTCATAATTCTTAAGTAAGTGTTGGTATGTGTTTTTATGTTCTAGTCTTAGATCATTTATTTAGGTCAGTTAGCAGCTGCAAACATGCATTGACTTTTGAGAGGATACAACATGCCGATGAAATTGATGGCATGTTAGGAGAAATATGAAATTCAGACTAAGTAACAGGTTTGAGCAGAGGAAGAAATTAAAAGGCATTGATATTGGGACATACTGGGTTCCTTTGCTCCTTTCTTCTTATTTGGATGAGGCTAACTTTCACTGTAGTAAATTCACAGAAGAATAGGATCTTAAATCCCATATTGCTTTGCTTCGCTTATCCTCTCATAGAGAAAATCACAGCTAGAACTAAACCATAAGTTGGAGGAATATGAAGTATAAAAACAGACACTCAGGAAAGGAGTTTGTGAGAACACATGCCACTTTTGACCCTTTTTAAGGAAACCAGACAGAGGGCTCTTCCCATTTGGGAATGTTTTCCACTGGCCAATGATTCCCCTGACCCTTTCCATCATCTCTGCCCCCTGTTGACCAGAGCATGAGTATTCTTTTCTGTGTGACAAATAATTCACCCAAACCCTGAATAGGTTGTGCTTTGCAATTGCCATTTGCTGAAACCCTGCTAAGGGGCACTGGAAAGAGTTCAGCTTTAAGGAAAATCCCACTCTGTGACACCAACATTCCTCCTCCTTGCTCTTCCTAGGAATCCTTTTCAGCAATGGAGAGACGTGGAAGCAGATGCGACGCTTTTCCCTCATGACCCTGAGGAACTTCGGGATGGGGAAGAGGGACACCGAGGAGAGGGTCCAGGAGGAAGCTCAGTGCCTGGTGGAGGAGCTCAGAAAAACAGAGGGTGAATTCCACTGATCAACCCTTTGGGGGCAAAAGGACTTCCCATACACACCGCCCCCAGGCATAGTTTCTCCTTTGGGAATCACTTTGTGGTCCACAAGCTGCTCTATTTAATAGGGAGCTGGCTAGGGAAAAGGGGTGGGAAGAAGGAGATACAGACCTTTTAGTTAGGACTCTCACGACCTTTAGTTTGGACTCATTTCCCAACTTCAGCACTTATTGGATATGTAAATTTGGACAAGTTTCTTAACTTTTCTAAGATATACTTCCACACCTGAAAAATGGAGCTAAAAAAGGTCAAATCTCCAAATGAGAATTTAATGTAGTTTGCAAGACAATTACACAGTATCGAGCATGTAAATGCTCTATAATATCATTTGATGCTCTTAGGACTATTAAAGTACTGTATTCGTCTACCTAATAAAAGAGTAACATGCTAATTGACCATACCTTTGTGACACCCACCAGCCAATCGAGTGTGAGTATGCAAATTAACACAGCAAAGATGTTGGGTTAATTTGCATACACTGGCACTGAGCAGCTGGGGGCGGGATTCTTGCATAGTTGCCATGGCGACGACACAGGTCTTCTGCACCACCCCAGCCACTCTGGGCCTCTGGACAGCATGGGAAGGCGGAAAGGGAGCTCCGGCTATGAGTGAAGGCTGTGCCAGCAGCCAGGGAAAGGAAGGCCCATTTTTGCACAAATCTTCGTGCATTGGACCTCTAGTATAATAATATAATTGGTAGTATTAGTAGCATAGTGTAATACTACCTAGTATCAGCATTATTTGAAGGTGTTTATAAACTAATTTGGGGAGGTTTAGAGGAAATACATCCTGTGTATAAATCTGAGCAGGAAGAGGTGCTGTTCTTATGAAAATCCTAACGTTAAGAGTTGTTCATTTCTCATGTCAGCTCAGCCTTTTGACCCTACTTCCATCCTTTCACTTGCTGTCTGCAATGTAATCTGCTCCACCCTCTTCAACGAGCGTTTCCAGTATGACGATGAGGAGTTACTTTACCTGATGAGTTTGTTAAATGAAAATTCTAAGAAATTAAGCTCTGTATGGATTCAGGTAAGGCTGAGGCTGCATCGGTACTTGTGGTTGCTCTCATTGGTCCAGGCTATGAGCTCACCTATTCCAGGAACAAGTGTTGATGCCAGCATTCATTGTCACCTTCCCTCCACCTACGTTCAGTGAATGAGTGCAATGGCAGTTATCCCCGCACCATTGGAAAGTTGCCCTCTGCCTGCCTCTATGGCTTTCCTCACACAAGGGGACAGATAAACTATCCTCAATTGCCAGTGTTTCTTCTAAGGGCCTGTGCCCATTTTCTCCTGTATGACTCAGGGGTTGGCCGAAGCTGAGATGAGCAAGGAGATGGGCAGGGGCCGCTCTCCTGTATGTAGTGGTTGTCCTCCCTTCTCTTCCGCTTGGAAGTTGGAGGAAGGGATTCTGTCTGGCCAGACCACAGACAGATCAGTGTTAGGCAGTCCATTCAGGAGCTCTGGTTCCTCTTAACAAATTGAATTTCCAATGTGTTTCCCCCTCCTCCCATTTTCAGATGTACAATCTGTGGCCAAATCTTATAAAGCATCTCCCTGGAAACCACAGATCATTTTCCAAAAGGATGACAAATGTTAAAAATTTCATTCTGGGAAAAGTGAAGGAGCATCAGGAATCCCTGGATCAAAATAACCCTCGAGACTACATCGATTGTTTTCTCAGCAAGATGGAGCAGGTACTGTATGCAGCGTCTCTCTCAACACCGTATCTTACCCTCCCATGGGAGTGCATGAGAGCATAGTCACACCATGGAGGTCATTCTTGATTTTTAAGGCAGTGGGGCACACCATTATCAGTAATAATAGAACTTCCTCTCCAGGTCTATTTTCCTGTAAGATAACTATCGACAGAAGTTTTTTTGAAGTGTTTCTGCTTTCCTATAAGTTTTGTTTCATTCTGTTTTAAATTAAGTTAATATTAAATCTCTATAATCTTATTGCATAATAGATTTGGCTTATGCTAAGAATTAAATTAAATAGTGGAGTTCATCCTAGTTAATGAAATTATAGTTAGAACATAAATAAAATATATGTTAACATTTCCATTTTCTCCCTAACTCTCTTTATCAGCAAAGACTTTAAAAAACTAATGGAACTGTCCTGGCTGGTATTGCTCAGTTGATTGAACAGTGTCGCATGCACTGAAGGGTTGTTGGTTGGATTCCTGACCAGGGTGCATGCCCAGGTTTCAGGCTCCATCCCTGGTCAGGCTCAATGTTTTGCTCTCACATCGATGTTTCACTCTCTCTCCCCCCTCCTCTCTCTCTAAAAATCATTAAAAATGTTTAAAACAACAATAACAACAAAAATGAACTGAATTTTCTCTTGTGAGGGACTTTCACGTACTCAATATTCTTGATTCCAGATAAACACAGCAGGACTATAGGTAGGAAACAACAATGTGCCTAAAATTTTAGAATTCCACATGCAGATATAACTCCATTTTGAAATGAATAGAAGGGACATAGTATAAAGAAACTGAGTGAAGAAAAACTTGATTCAGAGTTTTAAAAATAAAGCGAATTTAAAAACAAGTACTCCAGTACTTTTCTCACATTTAAAAACCAATGGTAGTAAAAGCCCACCAAAAATAATAAGCAATGAAAATAATTTAAATATAAAAGAATACCGAAATTTTATTAACTAGTGTAATAGCATTAAATATTCAAATGTTCAGTGCCCGTTTTTATGCCAGGTGTGCGGGATTCATCCACAAAGACTTAATCCCTATTATTTTTACTATAATCATTTTAAAATAGGAAGCTCACTCACTATTTTTAAGTTCTGGATCAATTTATTGTCTAAACACTTTGTAGACCCCACGTAAAAAATTACGAGTAAAAATGTCCTACAAGTACAGTCTTCCTATTAGAAATGCCATTATAATGATGAAAGTCATATGGGAGAAGGTGGGGCTGAGAGCATCTAAGTTAGTGTAAGTGAAGGAAACAGACCAGTTATAAATCAGTGCTTTCTCTACATTGTGTTTGCATAGATTGTATCATCTGGTCTTTTTCATTAAATATAATAAAAGAAGATATCGTGCACTGAGTATTTGTATATATGAGGCATAGTTCCAAGAGCTTCCACTCTTTTCATCTTTCTAATAAGCCTATGGAGCATGTTCTTTTTTTTTTTTTTTTTTTTTTTTATCTTCATTTCACAGGTGATGAAACTGAGTAGAGAGAAAAGTAACTTGCCTAAGGCGCACATCTATTCATTGACTAAGCTGGGATTGAACCTTGGAGTTTTGATCCACAACTGACTTTTTTGTTTTCTTCTATCCACTACATGACAGTGCACAAAACAGAGCCTATTGCTAGTAAAGGGGTGTGATTGTGAAGCTCTGATAAGCCATTGCCTTCTTTTTAACTCCTATAGTCATTAACTCTACCTTCTACAGGAGAAACACAACCCCATGTCTGAATTTGACTTGGAGAACTTGGCCACCTGTGGATCCAACTTGTTTGTGGCAGGAACAGAGACCACCAGTTCCACCCTGAGGTTTGGGCTCCTGCTCCTCATGAAACATCCAGAGGTGGAAGGTACAGCCAGCATGTTGGGGATCGGGGCAGTAGCGGGGGTGGGAGGATATTGCTGACAGCGACTGCTTCCCTTTCTCTGGGCTGCCTTTTAGAGCACCCTGCAAATGGCCATGTAGGTGGTTTTGCTTTGTAGATTAGAACTCTATCTAATAATGCTGATACGGAAGAAGCACCTTTAAGAACTGAAAGGCTGTTGTTCAAATTGGAAGCAGAGGAACTTCTGAATGCTGAGTCTTGTATCTGAGGTGCAATGCCAAAGAGTGAGCCCTGTTTAGATGAGGGACCAAGGCTGGATGCTCATCCTAGGCCTGCCGAAACCGGGCTGTGTGACCTCAAATGAGTCATTTAATCTTTTAGGCCCCTGTTTTCCCAAATTGAAAATGGACCCTATTTCCCAAAGGGGTTTTTTTAGCTGTGATATAACAACATTCAAAAATGAAATTTTGGTAGATTCCTTTTCTTAAGCGCATTTCAGACCACAGGCCTTATGAGCTAGTGTTTACACTGCTCAACAAAATGGTATTTACCACCCCCCAAAAAAAACTTGAAGGAGACTGGGTGAAGGTGACAAAGGAGAAGCTCCCACTAGAGTAAGGATCAAACATTTCCCCCGACAGCTGCTTTGCCAGGAATCATGGGCTAAGCCATAATCCCTGCTACAAAGGTCCTTGCCTCACCAGTACATGAGAACAAACCAATGAAGCCAGAAGGCTGAGGACATGGTGAATCCAGCCTTTGTGCTTCCTTCAGCAAATCTCTGGCATTTACAGCAAAACAGAAAAGAGAAATTCAGCCCGGAGCAGAGCAAGGGGCTGTTTAAAAACAAGTCTTTGACCTTGGGAACCTTTTCTAGGCCATGTTCTGCTGCACGTGGCAAGCATTTCAGGTAATTTCCAGGTGCCCAGGGAACACATCTCTTGAGTAGCATCTGTGATTCATGTCTCTGCAGCCAAAGTTCATGAAGAAATTGACAGTGTGATTGGACACAACCAGAGGCCCTCCTTGAAGGACAAGATGAAGATGCCTTACACAGAGGCTGTGTTGAATGAGATACAAAGATATGTCTCCCTCCTTCCTTCTAATTTACCACATGCTGTGACTAAGGATACGAAATTCAGACAATATGTCCTCCCCAAGGTTAGATGTGTCTGGGAAAACGGACTGGGATAGAAGGGGTGGTACGGTCCCTCAGTGGGACCTGTGAGAGCTCGCAGTTCTATTGCAGGAAGAGAGGCAGTCGTGTGTAATGGAAAGCACACAAGGTCCGAGTCAGATGGCCTTGGTTTGAAACCTGTCACTGCCACACAGTGCACCCTCAGGTCATTCTGCAGCTCTGTAGCCCTGACTCTGCCTTCCTAGGATAGGGGAGGCTGACCTGGGGATTCTAAGGACCCCTCCTGCTCTCATATAGAATGTATTATAGGAGCAGTGATTTTCATTAATGAGAATCTTCTGGGAACTGGAACCTGATTTTTCAGGATAGATAATAAAAAGGGGGAAGTGGAAAATGTGTCTGTTGCTCTAAGGTAATTAAGCCAGGGTCAATCTTCTTTCACCCAAATGTTCTCCTCCCAGAACTTTATGTATAGGACATTTGAGATATTGCTGCTCTTGATGGTTAACATTTGTAGAACACCTACCACTTACCAAAACTTACATGCTCACGAGGGATGTAGTCAGTCTCCTGTAGTGATTAGGGGCTTAGGTTTTACATTTAAATAGTTCCAGAGCATATAAGAGGGGGGGAAGGTGCCAACCTGATAAAAATATTGCAAAAACAGAATAAAAATACTACAAAACAGCCACCAATCTTACTTTTTTAAAAATATATATTTTATTGATTTTTTACAGAGAGGAAGGGAGAGGGATAGAGAGTTAGAAATATTGACGAGAGAGAAACATCTATAAGCGGCCTTCTGCACACCTCCTACTGGAGACGTGCCTGCAACCAAGGTACATGCTCTTGACCGGAATCGAACCTGGGACTTTTCAGTCTGCAGGCTGAAGCTCTATCCACTGAGCCAAACCGGTTTCGGCCACCAATCTTACTTAAAAGTATCAATGCAAAAGTATATTAGTACATTAAGTTTAGCATCATATTACAAACCCCACATCACCAACAAATTGAGATCATTAAGAACACTGGAATGGTCTAACACCAGGAAATCTAGTTTAATAAAATTCACCATATAAATAAAATTTAGGAGAAAAATCATATAATAATCTCATTTGTACAGAAAATGCTTTTGCTAATATTCAATAGCCATTTTAATTAAAAATTATTTTCAAATTATAATTGACATTTAATGTTATATTAGTTTCAGTCATTAGTATAGTGGTTAGACATTTATATAACTTAGAGAGTGGTCCCTCTGATAAGTCTAGTACCCATAGTTATACATAGTTATTACAATTTTATTGACTATATTCCCTATGTTATACTTTACATCTCTGTGACTATTTATAACTGCATATTTTACTTCATTTTTGTTTTTTAACCCTTAATAAAGTAGAAATAGATGAACATCTCGTTAGCCAAAAAAAAGCCCTATTTCCCAATCATGCTTATTGATGAAAGATGAAAAGCATTCCTAAGTAGAAATAAAGCAAGGCTATTTACCATTATTAATATTATGCAAGTAGAATTAGAAAAAATAATGAGATAAAACATTTAAAAGAAAGAAGCAACTTTGTAAATGACTCTTCAGATTTGAGGCAGCAATTCCAGTACATGTCATGTCTAGACAATGTGGGTGGCAAACCCCCATTTACCAACAATAACTGGTTATCTCACATTGATCACAACATCACTCTTCCCAAAGAGAATTATCTTATTACCCAATAAGTACTGTATGATAATAGCATGTATAAAATAGCCATAACTCAAGTCAGCCACCCACCAGGCAAGCATAAGCATGCTCAGTCCTATTCAGTTCACTAATGAAGAGTGTTAGTGTCTTTAATGAATCAAGGATGGGTGCGATAAAGTACAACTCCTCTCTCTTTTCTTGGTTCCAGGGCACCACGGTTTTTCCATTGTTGTCTTCCATCTTGTATGACTGCAAGGAGTTCCCCAACCCAGAGAAGTTTGACCCAGGCCACTTTCTGGATAAAAATGGCAGGCTCAGGAAGACAGATTACTTCGTACCCTTTTCCCTTGGTAAATACAAATAAACCCACCCAAACCATACACATGCACAATTTGGACAACTTTTTAGCCTCACTGAGAGTTTGGCATAACTAAGTAATCCCTGGATGATAGCAAAGTTGAGCATGTGAAACTGTTACAGTTTCTGATGTAACTGTATGGAGCCACTTTAGTCCGTACACCGGGAGGATTAGCGAAATCACCCAGGGACTGCTTTGTTGTTGGGTAACTGAGTGTAATGCCAGTTTTTACAGAAACCAAAGTTAGTCAAGCCAATTCCAATGTCATTAATGTTACCAGATGGCAAAGGGATCTGCTTTTGCAGACTTTTTTCTGTTGATTTTCCCTTTGTAATATTGACTTTTCCAAAACAAATGTACAAGTATTTTTTCTTCTTTTAAAATTATTAATGATTATTAACTTTCTGATTCTTAGGGCCAGAGGCCATCAAAGAGACTTGGCGACTTCATATTTTTTTCTTCCCCTCTGAAACCTGAGCCCCACATACCCTGGGCTCTTTTCAAGAGCTGGTTGGCTCCCAGTTACTATTTCCCATGAGGTTATAAAGACAGCACACATTCTTTTTCCTTATCTTTTCCAATCATTTGCTAAGTATTTAAAAAATAACAGTTAAGATGTTTTGTTTCTAATTACAGTGATAATAAGTGTTCAACATAAAAGATGGAAAATGCAGAAAAGCAAAAAAAGAGAAGGAAATAAAAGTTTTTTGCCATTTCACTCTACAGAGATAACCACTATTGTCTATGTATTCATGATAGATGTATATTTAAAAACAAAATTTGGTTCATTCTGTACAATCTTTGATAATTTATTTTCACTTAGTTTGTTGTGATAAAAGACAGTCTGTGGGCCAAAACCGGTTTGGCTCAGTGGTAGAGTGTTGGTCTGCGGACTGAAAGGTCCCGGGTTCGATTCCGGTCAAGGGCATGTACATTGGTTGCGGGTGCATCCCCGGTAGGGGCTGTGCAAGAGGCAACTAGTCGATGTTTCTCTCTCATCGACGTTTCTAGCTCTCTATCCCTCTCTCCTCCTCTCTGTAAAAAATCAATAAAATATATTAAAAAAAAAAAAAAAAAAAAGACAAACTGTGGTGTTAAATAATCTTCCACGTCAACATACTTAGGTTTCAATGTGTGAAATGCAGGATTTATTTCATTAGCTCGTATAGATGGATATACAGTTTTCATCTGACTCATCAATATCATAAATAACAATGCAAGTGACATCCTAATAGATGCATCCTATGGCTAAATACCCAGGAGGAGAACAACCTAATTAAAGAGTGAACATTTCCCGAGAGAGTTTTGTTATATACTGACAAAGAATTGGCTTCCAGCAGTTGATAAAATTCCCTTTTCTGATCAGTGTTTTCCATGGCTCTTAGAGGCATCTTGTATTTGTTGTCTTGATTGGCATATTGTATTTGAATATGAGCTATTGTATTTGAATCTGGAGCGAACTAATGGGAATGTTTCCTCCTTCCAGGAAAACGGGCCTGTGTGGGCGAGGGCCTGGCCCGCGTGGAGCTGTTCCTCTTCCTCACCACCATTCTGCAAAACTTTTCCCTGAAGCCCCTGGTGGAGCCCAGCGAGCTAGAGACCAAACCCCTTGTAACTGGGTTTCTCAACATTCCCCAGCCTTTCAAGCTGTGCCTTCTTCCTAGATGAACGCACTTCTCTCCTTTAACAATTTGATTCAAAGGAATTGCTTTTCCTCTTACTCCCCCATAGTCTTTCTCTTCATTTTAAATTCTGTGTAGGACAAAAACATTACTCACTAAAAACTTGATAAACATTTGTTTAAATCTACAAATCCCTTGATAAAAAGGAGCTGGGTCCTGAAAACTCCAAGGGCACAAACACTGTATTCACACCCTGTACGGTTCTTGGTGAGCCACGCTTCAGCAGAACCAAGACCAGGCCCACACAAGGCTTTTGTCGGGGATAGTTAGCAATAGAGTAGAGCCTTCACTGTTCCTGTGGCTGTGGACCTATGCTGATTTTCTGTTGATTTTCAAAACAGGGACATTAATATAATAGCCTATGTGTGTGATTTCTATTTCCAATTGAAAGCATGTGTAGGATTTGTACCACTTTCACAAAATAAATCCTTACTTCCACAATATATTTTCTCTGTATGTTTGACTTTATTCCAAGTCTCAAAAATTTCTTTTTGTGAGTTATGGCTCTCCACAGTTAGGATAAGGTATAAAATAGATGAAATTACGCGATAACCTATCACAAATCTCTCCCTGCCCCACCCTCTTCTATTTGCAACTATTGACGTGCATGGGACTCAAAGGGCCTTCTTTTATTTTTTTAGAAATACTTTTATTGATTTCAGAGAGGAAGGGAGAGGGAGAGATAGAAACATCAATGACGAGAGAGAACCATTGATTGGCTGCCTCCTGCATGCCCTCTACTGGGGATTGAGCCTGCAACCCAGACATGTGCCCTGACTAGCAATAAAACTGTGATCTCTTGGTTCATAGGTTGACGCTTACCGATTGAGCCACACTGGCCAGGCTCAAAGAGCCTTCTTGCATAAGAAGTTCAACTATGCATAGCCTTCCTATTTGGAAAGAGGTGAGAGGTGGATTTGGGGGTTGAAGAGCAAGAGGAGATGCAAGGGAAGACTGAGCATTCCCAAAAGTGCAGTGACTCAGAAAATAGCTGCAACTACCCCAGCAGTGGCCCAGCTGTGAGCAGCAGCTTCCACAAAAGGTTGGTTCAAAAACCAGCAGGCAGCCCCACCTCCAGGGACCCTATGAAGGAAAGGAGCTTTAAAAGTAGAGCTGAGCTTCTTGGGTAAATACCCCCAAAGAACTGAATGCAGGGACTTGACATGACATTTGTATACCCATGTTCCTACGAGCATAATTCACTCATACGATGGCTAATGGGTATCTTTTAAACCCTGCCACAGGGCACACAGCAGTCAAAATTTAGGTTCAAGACAGCATCATCCCAGCTCAAGGCAATCTGGAACATCAGTATGGAACTGGAACAGGCCAGTAAGGGAAAGGAGAAGATCTCAGCACCAGGCACGACCATAACTAGAGGGAATTGGCCCACTATGGGAAGTGAACAATTCAATCTAGAGTTTCCTAGAGGGTTGGGGAAACTCAGGCTAGATTGAGGCTGATTTTGAGATGGAAGAGAAAGACAGGTGAGATGAATTGAAAATTATGCACAGGTCCTATCTAGTAAATAAGTATTTCTACAAATTTGCAATCACAGCAAGACAGGTTTAGAACAAAATACCTGTGATTTTAGTGATGTCAAATATTAAGTCTCAAAGACCTTACTTAACATAATCAGTACAAAGAATTATAATATATTTAGAGTGGTCAGTTCTAGCTCTGAATTTTTGGTGAACTTGCATTCAACTTCATATTTATGGTCATTTGGGAAGAAAACCATCCATAAATTTTCAGCTCTCAGGGTTCCTATAGACCAAATCCAAGAAGCTTGCTTAGGCTACTCTTTCCTATGTGTCTTTTCTGTTAGTTTCTAACACATAAGAATATGTTTGCTCTTCAATGATGACTCAGTTGCTCAAACTGAAAAAAAAAAAAAGGTCTTAGCTAATTATTTTTATCTTCAGGTCAATTAGTGCATGCTTCAGGATGGACATAGAACAGAATAAAGCTAATAGGTTGTTTTATGTTTGTTTTGTATATATATATATATATATATATATATATATATATATATATATATATATAATTGATTTTTTACAGAGAGGAAGGGAGAGAGATAGAGAGCTAGAAACATCGCTGAGAGAGAATCATCGATCAGCTACCTCCTGCACACCCCCCACTGGGAATGTGTCTGCAACCAAGATACATGCCCTTGACCAGAATCGAACCTGGGACCTTTCAGTCCTCAGGCTGATGCTCTACCCACTGAACCAAACCAGTTTTGGCAGCTAATTATTTTTATCTTCAGATCAGTCAGTGCTTGCTTCAGGATGGACATAGAACAGAATAAAGCTAATAGGTTCTGAAAGCAGGTTATGCCTGACATTTTCTAGCTGTGTGGCCTTAGGCAGGTTCAAACTTTCTCTGATCTTCATCTTAAAAAATTGAAATTAGCAACACCTACCTTTTGGGTTAGGGAGTTGAGGATATATGTATTTTTCATGGCAATTAGCAGGGGCTCATAAATGATGGCTTTTTTGTTATCAAGACATTGAAAATTCTACCATAGTCAGTGCAAATTCAAATTTTAACTTTCAAGCCAGTCATGCTTTTTTTCCAGTCTGTTTCAGGGTTTAATGTGAAAATTCCAGGCTTAGTCACTATTCAATCAATCAATATTTGTCATATCTCTCTGATATAATATTGACATGTTGGATTCTTTTATATTACTTATTATAATATTGAATTTCTCTAAATCTAAGATGCCATCTGTTTTAAAATGCATTCCAGTTTCAGAGACTGTACCATATGAAACAAACAGCACCTTAGAAATAATGAAATGTAGTTGCCACCTAGTATGTTTGGACTTATAATCCATCACTGGTCTGCTTAACGGCTGTTCAAAGTCTAAATCATGTCAGTCCTTTCTTTTCAATGACCGGAGTACTTTGAGCCAGACTCTTCCAGTTAATCTCTGCCAGATTCCCTGATACCCAATATGATGTCATATCAGGGCACACATTGCATTTGCTTTTCAAACTCAGAAAGAACCTCTTTACTTTCAGGAATGACGATTATACAGGTACAGGCTATTTACAAATTAGGCAACACTAGTACACAGAATGGATTCAGAGTCCATGCCACTCATGCTTTCCATTGGCTAGAGGGCAGTCTGAACTAACATGTCACTGAACCAATGATGGCCCTATTGGAACTAGTGGGGGCATGTGGAGGAGTCGGTGTGACTGACATCCCATTTAATCATTTCCTGTCCTGTTCTAAAGTCAACAAAATGTCAATGCAGAGGAGATAGTTCATTATTTGTTACAACTTTTCAACATGTATTTAATACATGTTATATATCAAGTATAGGAGAACTGGGATTCCGGAAAGAAATACAATATTGTCTCTGGTCTTAAGGGCCTTATATTTTAATCAAGGAAGATAACACACACACACACACACACACACACACACACACACACACACACCCTAGAAAGTAGAGGAAACCCCAGAAGGATTTCCCTTCTTGGAAACCCCTGGAAGGCTGTGTTTGGAGAAAGCATATTCAAGAATATTTATTCTGGTTGAAGACAGTGGAAATGGAATATTGTGAATTGATTTCCAACTTTTGAAACCAACTGAAAACAAAATAAAAGGTCAAAAAAGAAAAATGGAACTTCCACCTTCAATAAATAAGGGAGAAGTTATAAATACAAAACTACGAAAAATAGCTGACAAGTGAAGAGAATTTTGACCTTACTATGTGAGAACACGGAGCCAACACATCCCTGCACAGACTCTGGGAAAGAGATCAATTTAACGAAAAGTAGGTGTCAGATTACTGAGCATGGATTGAAAAATTACCATTTAAAAATGAAATCTTTGGTTGAAAAACATAGGAGCACACCAATCACCACCCCTTACTGAATTTTGTGCTGTGTTATTAGGGCCATTATTTGGGTTTCCAAGAAGGTAATCCCTTCTGGGGTTTCCTCTACTTTTTGAATCCAGCTCACCCTCTCCTGTTAGGTTTCCAATGCTCTCCATGAACAGGCTGCTCCCCCAGTTCAGATAAACGCCCCTTGGGCCCCACCCCCCTCATATATATACAGACTTTTTTACAGAGAGGAAGGGGGAGGGATAGAGAGTTAGAAACATCAATGAGAGAGAATCATCAATCAGCTGCCTTCTGCCCACCTCTCACTGGGGATGTGTCCACAACCAAGGTACATGCCCTTGACCGGAATCAAACCTGGGACCCTTCAGTCCGCAAGCTGATGCTCTACCCACTGAGCCAAACAAGTTAGGTCCCCTCATTGTCTTCACTGAGCATGCCTCACTTTTCAGGAACAGTTTTGTATACACTGTACAGTGCTATGTATGTAGTAGTCATATTTATTATTTTCTTACTGCCTTGACTAGGATGCTTACCCCTTCTGTCTAGTCCCCGGGACCTCAAATGCAATCTGTTTGAATCTAAATGCACCATCTCTTCCCCAGCAGCTCTTCTTGGGAAATGGCACCACCTGTTGCCCAAGTCAAGAACATGGGCGCCATTCTAAATTCTTCCTTGTCACTCATTCCCCAAAGGCACTCGACCTCTAAGCCTCTGAGCCCACTAAGTTTCCACTCTTGTGGATCCTCATAACCAACTGCTCCACTGTTTTTCACCTCCACCGCCAGAGCCTCAGTCCGGCTCTCATTCATTCTTACCCAGATCTGACTTCCTGCCTGGGTTCAACCCCCTCCCTCTGCATAGATCACACTGTAGCCAGCACATAGCCAATCACATCCTGTCAACTTGCCCCCTGATTCCACTGTTCAGATTTTTTATTGGTTCTCCATTCTCCTTAGTTAAGTCCAAACTCCTCTCCCTCACTCAGGCCCTCATGACCTGTTTATGATCTTTCCAATGACCAGTGATGTTGGACATCTTTAAATGTGCTTATTAGCCACTCATATCTCTACTTTAATGAAATGTCTAATCAAGTCTTGTACTCGTTTTTAACGTGGGTTGTTTGTTCTAGTATTGTGTTGTAAGAGTTCTTGATGTATTCTGAATATATTGCCAGATATCTGGTTTAAAATTGTTTATTTCCACCCTCTGTCTTATCTTTTCATTTTTCCAGGGGTATCTGTTTAAATATTTTGGGGGAGGAAAGGGACAAGACCGAGCTGTGTTTCAGAAAGATGGCCTGGCCGCAGTGTGTGCGACGGATGGAAAGGGACAGAGAGCTCCCTTTTATTGCTCTTCTTTAAACTTCAACAGGCAGCAGCTGAGCAGCAACCTATGAACCAGGAGGTCACCGTTGGATTCCCAGTTAGGGCACATGCCCAGATTGCAGGCCCAGTCTCCCCTGAGGGGCATGCAGGAGACAGCTCGTCAGTGATTTGTCTCTCATCATTGATGTTTCTCTCTCTCTCTCTCTATCTCTCTCTCTCCCTCTCCCTTCCTCTCTGAAATCAACTTTAAAAACACATTACATTATCACATAGGGAACAAGCATCGCTCACGTTTCCCAAAGCTCTCTGGGAGTCAAAGGGTTATAAGCAGCTATTTATTGAAAGCCAGTTAGTTTCCAGTGCAGTTAATCAGTAAGCCAGAATCCGTGGAACTACCGAATCTGGGGGACGTGCAAAAAACCCTTCAAAGGGTTCTCCTGCATTCCGAGAGGCAGAGATGGGGGAGGAGGGGATGATCCCAGAGCCACAGGAATAACCTCCAGCTGTTGGCTTCCTCCAGGTGCGGCACTGCATTCCCTGCAGCCGCTGGGAGAGCTGGTCCCAGCCCTGGGATTCTGAAGGAAGCAGGCAGGTTTGGGGGAGACAGGTGGCTCCCTGCAGGAACCCCTCCGAAGAAGGCCGGCGGGATGTCAGGCCTGCTCTCCGTGCTCCTCCACCTCTCGCTGCTCCTCCCGTGGGCCGCCCCGGTGACCTTCCGCCACCACCGCTACGATGAGCTGGTGCGGACGCTGTACAAGGTGCACAACGAATGCCCCTACATCACGCGTGTCTACAGCGTGGGGCGCAGCGTGAAGGGGAGGCACCTCTACGTGCTGGAATTCAGCGACTACCCTGGAATCCACGAGCCCTGTAAGCCCTGAGCAGTCCTGGGAGTGTCGAGGGCAGGACCCTTCCTTACAAATCCAGTCATGGGGGGGAGGGGGAAGGTCCTGGGCCCCTACATCTGTCAACTAGCATCTCTCCCTCCTCCAGCCTGTGCTGAGAACTTGTCCCTGCTTTAGCCCTCAGTGGCCTCCGCCTCTAGGGAGCTGCAATCTCCATTCAGGCTCCAGGTGGTTCCTCTTTGTTAGGTTCCAGTTGCTCAGTTCCCTGCTCCATCCCCCATCCTATCCATTTCCTTTCCTCCCATTGCCCCTCCCTCACCCGTTATTACTCTGTCATCTCTATCCAATGCCTCAGGAGACATAAGCAGAGACAATTAGCCCTTCCAATTCTGCCAGGAAACTGAGGAGGGTTTAGGGATATTTCTTTGGGGAAGGATGGTGAGCTAGAGTTTCGTGTCCTGGAGAGGGTTTGAGGGCTGGGGTATTAGTTTTATTCATTGCATTATTTGTTGTTGTTGTCAGTTTGTTTCTATTATAAAAGCAAGTGATGTCCGGATTAAAATTAGAAATTAGAGAAGGGAAAAAGACTCAGTCATAATCCCACCACTCACAGATGACATAGCTAACCTACTGATGTATATCCTTCCAGACTTTTTCTACGCAGAGTTAAAACCCCTTGGCACGGTTTACTTTATAAAAGTGGAATCATACTGCAACTACATTTCTTATCGCTTAGCCTTTGATGAATAGCATCCATGTCGTAAATGTAGATCCACATCATGATGTTCGGCTGTATAACATTCCATCGCATGGTGGTATCTGACTGTTCATTTATGGGTGGGCATTCGAGTCTTTTCTAATTTCTCACTGCTTTACTTCTAACAATGGTGACATTCAAGTTATGTCAGTTCCTCCAAACTGTCCACCTCAATCCTCTCTTCTGCTTCACTTCCACACCCTCCCTCCTAGCCCAAACTTCATCCCAACCTGCCTAAGCCAGTCGTTGGCAAAATGCGGCTCAAGAGCCACATGCGGCTCTTTGGCCCCTTGAGTTTTTAACAAAGACCAGTTTAAGAGTACCCTAATTAAGTTAATAACAATATACGTACCTATATAGTTTAAATTTAAAAAATTTGGCTTTCAAAAGAAATTTCAATCGTACTCTTGATATTTGGCTCTGTTAACCAATGAGTTTGCCGCCCACTGGCCTCAGCAGTTATCCTATGCTCCCAACAGACCTCCTGACTCCTAACGCCACCACTCTTTGAGCCTTCCATTTAACACCGAGATGCCAGAATAATTTCCCTAAATGCTGATCCAATCATCTCACCCCCTGCTTACAGGCCTTCAATGACAGCTGCACACCAGGTGGATTCTGTCCGTGATGCTTCAGAATATCACATGGCCAATGGGTAGGGGGAAGGGTGGTGGGATGTGGCTAACGGAAGGCCAGAGTGAATGATTAAGTGCAGATAAGGGCTTTGCTTGGAAGCCTCACGTACACAGCAAGCACCTGCTGTGACTGTCCTGTGTTCACTGTGGAGCCTGTGGGCGCTAATGGACGTGGGAGATTAGTCCCTCCTTGCTCCATGCCCTCCTCTGCATGCCGCCTCTACTTTTAGCGTTCAAGCCTTCCTTCAGGCTTTTTCATTTCGGCCCGTCTTTCCTCTGAGACCTGCAACTTAGCTTTTCATCCACTTGTTCCTTTCATTTATTCATTATTCATTCTGCAAATATTACGCTACTACTATATGTAAGCACATTTGTAAATTCTGAATATACAACAGAATAAAATGAAGACACTGCCCTCAGGGCCTTAATTCTAGCTGGTAAGACTGGCAATAGATGGGCAACTATGTAAATATATACTATATTGTACTGGATAAAATTCAGTGCTCTAGAAAAAAAAAAAAAACAGGAAAGAGATAGAGAATGTTATTCAGTACTATGGACAGAGTAGGGGAGAGGAGAGTGCTATGTAGAAAAAGCTTCTGTCACGGTGATATTTCAGTATGTCCTCAAACTGATACTGGGAAGGAAAGCACCACAGGCAGGGGAGAGAGCAGGAGCTGGGCACGTGTGAAGAACAGCAAGGAGGCCCTGCAGCTGCAGCGGAGTGGACATTGGGAGAGCAAGAGGCAGGTCGGAGCAGGAAGGTCAGGGCAGCCGAACAGGAGGAGACTGGGGAGGGCCTTACAGGCTTTTGTAAAGATTTTGGCTTTTCCGTTTCCTTTGAGCGAAGCCAGAAGCCACTGGAGGGTTTGAAGCAAAAGAGTGGCATGGTCTGACTTAAAAAACGTAAAGATCACTCAGAGCAGTTACCTGTTTGGGCAAATAAAGTTTCTTTGAAACACAGCCTTGCCTGTTAGTTTTCGTATGGTCTAGGACTGCAGGAGTTGAGTAGCTGTGACACCGACTATATAGCTCACAGATCTGAAGTATTTTCTATCTGGTTCTTTATAATAAAAGTTTGCAGACCTTTGACTCAGGGGAATGCACTTTAATGGGGCTGGGCAGAGGCAAGGAGTTCAAGTAGGAGATTTAGTGTAATAATCCAGATGTGATTAAACCAAAATGACAGCAGTGGTTGTTGTAAGTGGTCGTATTCCCCATACTCTATTGAAAGTAGAGATAAGAAAATTTAACAATGAGCACCTACTAAGTGCAAAGCACTCTGTTAGTTTCTATAGGTCAGTCGTTGCCCACTTTTATATTTCAAAGAAGTTAAAAAATATATTTTTTAATATATTTTATTGATTTTTTTACAGAGAGGAAGGAAGAGGGATAGAGAGTTAGAAACATCAATGAGAGAGAAACATTGATCAGCTGCCTCCTGCACACCCCCCATTGGGATGTGCCTGCAACCAAGGTACATGCCCTTGACCGGAATCAAACCTGGAACCCTTCAGTCTACAGGCCAACGCTCTATCCACTGAGCCAAACTGGTTTTGGCAGAAGTTAAAATTTTTTAAAAATAAATAAGAGAGGTTGGAGGAGACTAAAATATATTTTACAAATTTTATTTTACTGAACAAGGATGTTGAAGATACTACCTACCATCTGCTATCACCATCCTTTCTTAAAAGAAGGGATATTTTAACACTAAGAAAAGTATGAAAGACATAATCTAAGATTAAAGAAATGCACTAAGATTAAAGACTACACCTTATGGAAAATTTACTACATGATCCTTGTGAGTTATAGACATTTTGGGGGGAAAGACTGCTGCACAAGATAAATGTACAGAAGAAAAATGCCCTAAAATATTGGTTTAAATGTATATAGTGGAAAGGCCAGGCCCAGTAAAAAAAAATAAATAAAAAAAAATAGGACCTATGCAAAATTAGGTAAAACTCAGAATAGTAAGTGGTAAGTACCATAAAAAGGAAGTTCAGCAGTGAGTTTGCTCACAGCAGAGAGAGCCCAAAATGACTTCCCAGAGCCTACAAGGATGTTGAGAGGGGATTGGAAATATAGAGATGAAGAGGTCCAGAATCAGAAAATTCACAGAGACAGGAAGATGGGTGGAAGCGAAAGCATGGAGGGAGGAAGATAAATCACTTGGCCAGAGCTTTTCTCCTTCCTCTAAAAAGGGGCAGGAGATACTTTCTGTAAGTGGTTCCAGAGGCTCTCTTCCTGACCTCAGTTCTGGCTTTCATTGAGCAGTTAACGTAGCCAATGAGAAGATTAGGGAATGAGACTTAGGTAGATTCCTTCCCACTCTGTGCCTCAAAACACAACATTCTCGGATATTAAGGAGAGATTTTCATGTCCTAAGTACCAGGAAAATTAAGTGTTCAACCAAGATGATTAGATGGTACTAGTATAACCTAGAGCAGTGGTGGGTAAACTGCGGTTCTCGAGCCACATGCGGCTCTTTGGCCTCTTGAGTTTTTAGCAAAGGCCAGCTTAGGAGTACCTTAATTAAGTTAATAACAGTGTTCCTACCTGTATAGTTTAAGTTGAAAACATTTGGCTCGCAAAAGAAATGTCAATCGTTGTACTGTTGATATTTGGCTCTGTTGACTAATGAGTTTGCCGACCACTGACCTAGCGAGCATTTCATGTGAGCAGGTCTTGGGAAAACACCGCCCTGACCCTAAAAGACTTGTCCCTGAGAAGCAGCGAGCTGCTGTCAGTGCTCCCTGGGCTTTCTCTCAGACTAACTAGCTAGGTGACTTCAGACAAGTGACTTAGCCTCACGCCTCCCCAGGGCGCCCTCATCCTGAGGCTAACAACGACCCCCATCTCCAAGGTTTCTGTGAAGATTAGCAGTGTGAGCACAGAGGTCTGGAAAACAGTAGGGAGTCAGTGCATGGCGGTCATTATTGTCCCTGGCATGGGTTCTTGTAGCGTTTGGGACCGCCATTTGTTGGGAAGGGGCTTGGGGATTGCTGGGAAAGACCCACCGGAAGCATGAGCTTTTCTCTGACCCGCTGATAAAACAGAGGGAAGAGGTCCCTTGGCAAAGTTAGGCATCGAGGGCCCTTGCAAACGTTCCCCATCTTTGATCGTCCCGCGTGTCTCTCTCTCCCGCTTACAGTGGAGCCCGAAGTCAAGTACGTGGGGAACATGCACGGCAACGAGGTGCTGGGCCGCGAGCTGCTGCTGCAGCTGGCGGAGTTCCTGTGCGAGGAGTTCCGGAACGCCAACCCGCGCATCCTGCGGCTGGTCCAGGACACGCGCATCCACATCATGCCGTCCATGAACCCGGACGGCTACGAGGTGGCGGCCGCCCAGGTACCGCGCTGTGCAGGGAATAACTCCATCTTTAGGGACAGAGTAAAAGCCAGTAGACAATGTGTCCTCTCAGGGCCACTACGTCCATAGAGAGAAAAGAAATATAAGGAAGTATGAAGATTTGGGTTCAGGGCTATACCACCCTATGCAATAATGTGGGCTCTCAGTTCCCTCAACACCTTTCCAGTTGACCTCCTGTTTGTTTGTTTTTTCTTTTATATTTTTATATTTTAAGAGGGAGAGAGAAGTAAACATCAGTGATGAGAGAGAATCATTGATTGGCTGCCTCCTGCATGCCACACATTGGGGATGGAGCTTACAATCCGGGCATGTGCCCCTGACCATGACCTCTTGGTTCATAGATCGATGCTCAGCCACAGCCACGCAGGCCAAGCTGACCTCCTGGCTTTATTGGGAAGGTCAATGAGGCAATATTTGTGAGGACACTTTGTAAATGGGCAAATACTGTGCAGGCATGAGGGATATTGCAAAACAGACCTTCTTCCCTGGATTTCTAACTTCGAACCCTAAATGCTCTGCTTCCTCCTTCAAGACACATTTACATTGGGGTGAGGACTAGGGGGAGGGGGCGATGGCAGAGATCAAGCTTTTCCCAGAGCTGTGACGGGAGGAGTTCAATTCCAGTCAAGAGCACATGCCCGGTTGCAGGCTCAATCTCCAGTACGGGGTGTGCAGGAGGCAGCCAATCAATGATTCTCATCATTGATGTTTCTATCTCTCTCTTTCTCTCCCTTTCTCTCTGAAATCAATTAAAAAATATTTTAAAAAAAAATCCAGCTTTGGGTAAGGCAGAATAATACCCCCCAACTCCCTCAAGGATGCCCAAGTCCTCATCCCAACCTGTGAATATGGTATGTTACATGGAACCTGTGAATATGGTATGTTACATGGCAAGGGGGGATAAAGTTGCAGGTGGAATTAAGGTTGCTCAACAACTGACCTTAATACCTGGGTCATTTGGGTGGGCCCAGTGTCATCAATCACCAGTCTTTTGGGTGTGGGAGGAGGAGGCAGAAGGCCAGAGTCAGAGATTGGAAGATGTGAAGGCCCAGGAATTCGGGTGGGATCAGGAGCCCAGGAATTCGGGTGGCTTTGTGATGCTGGGACAGATTCCCCGAGCGCCTGTGGAGGACACAGCCCTGCTTTTAGTCCTGTAAGACCCATTTCAGTCTTCTCTCCAAGACTCCACATGTAATGAACTTGTGCTATTGGAAGCCACTAAATCGGTGACAAGTTGTTACAGCAATAACAGGAAACTGATCTACCACCAGCCCTGTTTATGGGAACCTTCTGTTAAGAGGATTCCTTACCGGCCTGCTTAGCCAATGGCCCCGTGTGAGCAGTAATACTGGGAGGTCAATAAACATAGCTGTTAATGGGAACAGGTAAGAGCTCATTGATACTAATAGAAAAGTAGTGAAAAACCCCTAGAGGCATAAGAAAAAAATCATGACCTCATGAAGTGAAAAGGCAAACTCCAAACTGAAAAATCAGATAAGTGTCTTTCACTGGATAGAATTGATGTAGGAAGTGTAAAAGAACTTCAAAAAACATTATGTTCTCAATGAGATCTAAGAGTAAAAGATAAGCAGGGTGCCATGCAAATGAAGAAATTCGTGAAAAATAGATTCCTTGGAAAGATAGGAGACTGGTAGTACCTTTGAGCGTTTTTTAGCTGCCCAGCGCTGAACCATTCACCTTACTTCTAGGAATAGCCACCGCATGGGGCTCTAGTCTCCCAGTCAGCAGGGCTCAGTGGACACTCTTCTCCTTCTCCAAGGCCACCCAAAACATTACCTGGAATTTATTGTAGTTATTTATATAAATATCTGACTCCCCACATATACTGTGAATTCTTGGAATGGTAAAATGTCTCATTATCTTTCCCCAGTGTCTATCAGAGATGGATTTAAATAAGTGTTGGTTACTAAATGGATGGATGGATGGATGGATGAATAAATGAACAAATACATGACCAAATAAGTGATAAAATCTGAAGTGTAAGCATGAGGTTGATATTACTCAGAAGAAAGATAAGCAAGTATACTAATTTTTAAAAGTGATGGTGGGGTTTTCATGGCACAGCCAGTTTTAAAAAGTTTAGCTATTTCTGCAAAAGTTAAATACACTTACCTTAAGACCCAGCAGTTCCACTAGGCATCTGCCCACGAGAAATGAAAGCATAGATCCATGCAAAGAATTGTAGGTGAGTGTTCATAGCAGCATTATTTGTGATAGCCACAAAGTGGAAACAACCCAAATATTCGTGTACTGGCTGAAAAAGTATCCCCCCAAATTCATGTCTACCTAGAACCTGTAAATGTGATCTTATGTGACAACTAGAGGCCCAGTGCATGAAATTCATACGTGGGCAGGGTCCCTAGGCCTGGCCAGCGATCAGGGCCTATGGGGGCCATCTCGCCCAGTCCTGATTGGAGCCAGACTGGCTGCCGGATGAGGCCCGCCAGATGGAAAGAGGGACCACGGGAGGTTTGCTGGCCAGGGGAGGAACCTGGGGAAGTTGGCTGATGGTGGGAGATTGGCTGTGGGAGCACACTAACCACCAGGGGGCAGCTCCTGCATTAAGCGTCTGCTCTCTGGTGATCAGTGCACAACCAGTCATTCAGTTGTAACAGTTGCTTAGGTTTTTATATAAGGATTTTGCATATGTAATCACGTTAAGATAAAGTCATACTGGATTAAGGTGGACCCTAAATTAAATATGTCCATTGTTCTTATAAGAAGAAAGAAATTTGCCTGGCTGGTGTTGCTCAGTGGTTGAGCATTGACACATGTACCCCAAGCTCCAAGAGGTCACCTGGATTCCAGGTCAGAGCACATGCCCTGTCTTGGGCTCAATCCCCAGTAGGGGAGGTACAGGTGGTGGCCAATCCATGTTTTTCTCTCTCATCAATGTTACTTTTTCTCTCTCCCTTCTTTCTTTCCCCTCCTCTCTCTTTTTCTCTCTAAAAAAAGATCAATAAAAGCATTTTTTTAAAAGAAGAAATTTATACAGAGACACAAACAGATGGGGAGAAAGTTATATGAAGATGGAAGCAGGAATTGGAGTGATTCATCTACAAGCTAGGGAATAGCAGGGATTGCTAGCAGCCACCAGAAGCTAGAAGAGACAAAGAAGGATCATCCACTGAACCTTTAGCAAGCATGGTTAGATTTCAAATTTCTAGCCTCCAGAATTGTGGGAGAACAAATTTCTGTTGTTATAAGTCACCTAATTTGTGGTAATTTGTTATGGCAGCCCAGGACAACTAATACAGTCTATCAGTTGGTGAATGGGTAAACAAAATGTGTTAAATATAAAGCAGCTATCCTATATAATAAAACATAGTATGCAAATTGTCCCCTCAATCGGCCAGGAGTTTTTCCGGGAGTTCGACCAGGGGGTGGGGCTGTCTGGGGGAAGGAAGGGAGGCCCGGCGGCAGCCAGCAGCCACTAGGGACCCTACCAGTGCAGAATTTCGTGCACTGGACCTCTAGTTCACCAACAAAAAGGAGTGAAGTACTAATACATGCTACAACATGAAGGAACCTGAAAAACATTGTCTAGTGAAAAAAGCCAAACACATATGTGAAATGTCCAAAAAAAGGCAAATCTACAAGAGTTGGAGTGAAAATGCAGAGTGACTATAAAAGGCATGAGGTGTTTTTCTGTTTTTTTTTTATTTTTTATAATTTATTAATTTTTTACAGAGAGGAAGAGAGAAGGATAGAGAGTTTGAAACATCGAAGAGAGAGATGCATCGATCAGCTGCCTCTTGCACACCCCCTACTGGGGATGTGCCTGCAACCAAGGTACATGCCCTTGTCCAGAATCAAACTTGGGACCTTTCAGTCCTCAGGCTCAAACAATGCAAATGGAGTGGACCTCTATCCACTAGCCAAACCGGTTTTGGCCATGAGGTGTTTTTCTTAAGGTAATAAGAATGTTCTCAAATTAGATTGCAGTGATGGTTGTATACTCTGTCAACATCCTAAAATTAATTGAATTGTATACCTCAAATGGGTGACTTTTATGGTACATAAATTTTATCTCAGTAAAACTGTTTTTTTGTTTGTTTGTTTTATTTTTAAGTAGGGGGTTCTTCAAATATGAGATTCAGTCTGAAACCTTCATTTTCCCTCTCTTCATTTTCCCACTAGGGCCCAGAAGCTTCTGGATATCTGCTTGGCAGAAACAATGCAAATGGAGTGGACCTGAACCGCAACTTCCCTGACCTCAATATGTACATCTATTACAATGACAAGTACGGAGGCCCCAACCACCACTTGCCCCTTCCAGACAACTGGGAAAGCCAGGTATGGGAAGAAATTTACATACAGAAGCAGGTAAATCAACATCTGGAAGCTCTTCTAGAAATCTTCACATCAACTAAAGAGGCAAAAATTAGGTATCAACTCAACTCCATGTTCATGTGCCCAGAGTAGTAATAACCGCCTCTTTGTATTTATTCTCTCCCCCAGCATAGGAACCTCCGAGGGACACCTGCTCACAAAATGTTTGATGTGAGTGGCCATGCCAGTGAGGGAAGTGAAAGCAGTATCATACAGTTGCACAGAATTTTATAAAATTATTTCAATTGATCATTGCATCACTGTGTGGCAAGTGCATCTATCAGTGTTATCCATCTCTGTTTTATAGATGCTACGCTTATAGAAAAAAATAATTTAAATTCATGCAGCTATAATTGATGGAATCAGATTTAAAATCCAGGCCTCCCCACTCCTCATCCAACATTCTTTCCACTGCACTGTACTGTTGACACAGAACTCTGGCTTTCTATAGAGAAATCTCTCTTATATGTGGACTGTGTGCTCATCAACAATGAGCTATACAGCCCTGACTGGTTTGGCTCAGTGGATAGAGCGTCGGCCTGCAGACTGACAGGTTCCAGGTTCAATTCCGGTCAAGGCCATGTACCTTGGTTGCAGGCACATCCCCAGTGGAGGGTGTGCAGGAGGCAGCTGTTGATGTTTCTCTGTTATCGATGTTTCTAACTCTCTATTCCTCTCTGTGAAAAAATCAATAAAATATATTTGAAAAAAAATACACAATGAGCTATAGAAAGAAATTCAGAGTCTTGACCGTATGCATAGTTTTCCTCTTTCCTTTCTATCTGAGCATTGACTACTTTACTGCGCTCTCATTTTCCTGCTCTCCAGTCACAGGTGGTGGTGGTCCCAACCTTTCTCCCCAAGAGGCCTGTCATGTCACCCCTGGTAATGTGAATGGTTTCATCCTCCTGTGGGCCTGCTCCTGAGACACAATAGCACCACATAACTCTAAGCACATCCGCCCTGAGAGGAGGAAAAACAGTGAAGATGGAAATTATTTACTTGTATTATAAGTCTAGTGGCTTTCCTTGGAATACCATCCCTCATGAGCACTATAATATGCAATCAGTAGGGTGGGATTTTACTTCTTAGCCAAGCCTGGCCCATATTACACTATTCTAATCCATGAAATGGGGGTATGACCATGTCAACATCACAGTAGATGTGCTAGGCGAAGGAGGAGGGTGGAAACCATTACTGTAAACCAGCGTTTTCCACATTTATTTACCAGAGCCCTGCATTTCTGCCAAGGTGCCTCAGAAGCCACGGAAGCAGTGGGGAAATGGGAGGACGCTTCCCGAGGGGCAGAGAGAGGTCAAGCTTGATGCATTTATTACAAGTGGCGAGCCTACTTTGACTCATCATTGCCAGACAAAGTCCATAATTTACATTAGTGCTCACTCTTCATGCGCTACATTCTATGGGTTTGGCCACACGCATCCTGACATGTGTCACACACAATGATGTCACTGCCCTAAATGCTCTCTTTTTTATCTGTTTTCTATATTAGGATTCCATATAAGATTTCATTTTGAAAAAGGGTTCCATCAATTAATTTTGTAAGATAATATTCTTTTAATTATTGTTATTTAGAGAGATGGGGGAGAGAGAGAGAGAAACATTGATGTGTTGTCCACTTACTTATGCATTTATTGATTGCTTCTTATGTGTGCCCTGATCGGAGATTGAACCTGCAACCTTGGTGTATGAGACAACGCTCTAACCGACTGAGATACCTGACTAGGGCCATCCACTTAATTTTTCACTTATTTATTTATTTTTTAATATATTTTTATTGATTGTTTACAGAGAGGAAGAGAGAGGGATAGAGAGTTAAAACATCGATGAGAGAGAACCATTGATCAGCTGCCTCTTGCACACCCCCTACTGGGGATGTGCCCACAACCCAGGTACATGCCCTTGACCGGAATCAAACCTGGGACCTTTCAGTCCGCAGACTGACGCTCTACCACTGAGCCAAACCGGTTTTGGCTCCACTTAATTTTTTAAAACCATCATGAAAAAGGTAAAAGTCTCCCCACCTATACTTCTCATACCTGGTAGGACCTGTCTTATTTGGACATGCTATATCCTCAGGCCACTTACTGACAAACTTATTCAGATGCCTCTCATCTCTCCGCAGGTGGAACCTGAGACTCGGGCCATAATCCAGTGGATACAATCCTTCAACTTTGTCCTTTCAGCCAATCTCCATGGAGGAGCAGTGGTGGCCAATTACCCATATGACAAATCCCTGGAGCATCGGTTCCGGGGTTACCGCCGCACTGCCAACACCCCCACGCCCGATGACAAGCTGTTCCAGAAGGTATGCAGAACGGCGGCTTGTCCAGCTGGGAACTTGGGACTCAGGAGAGTAACCCAGGCTGAGTCAGTAACACAGGACCCTGGGAGGTACAGACCACAGAAAATAGCTGGCAGCACTGCTTGCTCATTAGGAGCTTACAGCCTAGAAAACTGCATTTTGTTCTGAGTGATAAGCCAAAGTGTCATGAAAAAAATAAGTATATAGGCAATTTTTATAGTACAATTACCACAGTGTAGGAAAAGTACTTAAGCTAATAACTAGCAAGAGATATGCCCAATGACTAATCATGCTGGTGGTGAGTGAGTGGCATTAAGTGTGAATTTTGAGGGCTCTAATTTGCAATTTCATGATAGTAGGGCTATATTAATGAAAAATGCACATAGTTAAAAAAATAGCAGTAGAATAAAATTAAGATTATTTTATAGTTAATATATTATTAACAACATAATGTATATAATTTAACAATATTTATTATTACAATTATAACATTAATTATTAATTCATCAATTAATGAATTACACAGAGAATAATACAAGTTTTTGCTTTGCAAAGCAAGTATATCTCATTTTTTTCACTGATAGAAAATAGAAATGAAGGGGAATGAATAGAGATTATAAATAAATTCCTTTCTTAACACACAATTCACCCTCAAAACAGTTTCTTCCTGATGAAGTCCTGTCTTGCTTCTTTCTTTTACAAAACTCAGCTAGAAAATGGAATACCTAGAAATGGATTAAGGAGTACAAAATTTCAGTTATAAAAATAGTCTCGGGGATGTAAAGTACAGCATAGGGAATATAGTCAGTAATCCTATAAAATAAAAGCCTAATATGCAAATCGATCGAATGGTGGAATGACTGGTCGCTATGATGTGCACTGACCATCAGGGGGGCAGACATTCAACACAGGAGTTGCCCCAGCCCGCGGTGGCAACGGCCAGCCAAGGTGGGTGCCAGTGGGGGCTCCCTGATTACCCTGCCAGTCACCCCAAAATCAGCCTTGATCACCAGCCAGGCCTAGGGAACCCAACTCATATACAAATTCTGTGCACTAGGCCTCTAGTATTGCAATAACTATGTATATGTCAGATGGGTACCTGACTTCCTAGGGTGATCACTTCATAAGGTATAGAAATGTCTAATCATTATGTTGTATATCTAAAATATATTATATGTCAACTGTAACTGAAAAATAAATTTTTAAAATAGAAAAATAAATAATTAAAAAAAAGAAATTGTACACTTAGAAGGGGACTTATATATAATCTAGTGCCACCCCTCACTTTACAGTTGGAGAAATTTAGTCCCAAGATAGTGGAAAAATCAGATTTCAGGTTGCTTAACTATAATCCACTGCACACACATACCATCTCTATCTTGGCTCTTGCTTTCACTAAAGCAAATAATCAGTAGTTTATACCTAGGGTTTCTTGGCTTTACACATCTTCTAAGTATGAACATCGCAATGTGAGTGGGAAACTCTCAAGTTCATTTCTGCCCACTGTCCCTACAGCTGGCCAAGGTCTACTCCTATGCACATGGATGGATGCACCATGGTTGGAACTGTGGGGATTACTTCCCGGATGGCATCACCAATGGGGCTTCCTGGTATTCTCTCAGCAAGGGTAAGGGGAGGCCTGGTTTCAGCAGTGCTTCAAGCTGAAGTAGGGTGAGACTCATTTCTCCTTCTGATTTACCTTTTTTATAAAATCCTCACCTGAGGATATTTTTTCCATTGATCTTTAGAGAAAGTGGAGGGGAGAGAGAGAAAGGGAGAGGAAAAGGAAAAGGAAAAGGAGAGGGAGAGGGAGAAGGAAAGAGAGAAGGAAAGGGAGAGGGAGAGGGAGAAGAAGAAGAAGGGGGGGAGGAGAGAGAGAGACAGGAGAAACATAGATGTGTGAGAGACACATTAACTGGTCGCCTTCTGCACGCACCCCAATTGGGGCTTGGAATCAAACCTGCAGTGGAGGTAGGTGCCTTTGACTGGGAATCAAACCTGAGACCCTTTGATCCTTAGGCCAACGTTCTAACCACTGAGAAAACTGGCCAGGGCTAGCATGTGTGTTTTTTTTTTTTCTTCTTCTCAGAGAAGTGACAGGAATACTAATTTTGCATTGGGGATACAGATTTAAAAATGGCAACGTCTTAAGTTAGCATTAATGGCATTTTGTGGTTTATTAAAATGAAGGCAGGGACACCTTGTGGCCTTTTTATTTTATTTATTTATTTTAAAATATATTTTATTGAATTTTTACAGAGAGGAAGGGAGAGGGATAAAAAGCTAGAAACATTGATGAGAGAGAATCATTGATCAGCTGCCTCCTGCACACGCCCTACTGGGGATGTGCCCGCAACTAAGGTACATGTCCTTGACCAGAATTGAACCTGGGACCTATCAGTCCACAGACCAATGCTCTATCCACTGAGCCAAACCGGTCTCGGCCTTGTGGCCTTTTTAAAACTGGTGGTTTACACAAAATACTGGGGCATAGGAGGGAAATAATAGTCAAGTGGTTAAAGTGTGGGCTTCAACAGCACATTGGGTTGAAACCCAGCTTGCCCATTTACCAGTTATGTGGCTTCAGGCTAACCTCTTAATCTCTCTGAGCTTTGGTTTTCTTATCTGTACTTTAAGAATAACAATATTGCCGAGACCGGTTTGGCTCAGTGAATAGAGTGTCAGCCTGTGGACTGAAAGGTCCCAGGTTCAATTTCGGTCAGGAGCATGTACCTTGGTTGCAGACACATCCTCAGTAGGGGCATGCAAGAGGCAGCTGATCGATGATTCTCATCGATGTTTCTAACTCTCTATCCCTCTCTCTTCCTCTCTGTAAAAAAAAAAAAAATCAATAATATATATATATATTTTAAAAAGAATAACAATATTTGCCCCATAATTTTGATATGAGTATTAGATAGAGTAATGCTCATAAAGCATTTGGAAATACTTGGCTTACAAATGTTGGGCTTTTTCTAACTCGCATAGAGATATCCCTCACATAGCAATAGGTGAGGAGAGGAGCTGGGCACACACATTGCCTCTGGTATATGCTCGGTACCCTCCCTGCCCATCTCCCAGGATCAGGAGTCTGCCTGGACATTGGTCATTGATAATGCAGCAGACACTTCTGGCAAGTGGCTTCTGTCTCTACACCCGGGGCCTTCTCCATCGCAGGGAGTTGAGATAGAACCTCTGTAGATGAGTCTTCAGTAGGTAAGGAACCTAAGGGTAGGGAAGAGGCTGAAGCAAGAAGCTGGGACCTTTTAGGAATCACATGTCAGCGGTTGTCTTTCCCTGTCCTCTCAAGTCTGGCCTGGTTGGAACCTAGGTAGCAGAATGCTCACTGGTGAAAACTAAGCTGATAGTTGGTCCTGCGGAGAGTGGGGAGGAGGAAGGTTAGGGAGGCGCCATGTACTGGCAAAGTGGCTGAAAACTCACTTGAATACAGAGCAAGAAGATTTTGTTGAACTTTACTTTCTTTAGTTTGCCTTAGGAAAGCAATAGGTTATTTGCCCCCAGAAAATAAAATATCAAGTATACCTTTTCCAATTATACTTGTTCTTCCTTTCCTAACCTTTAGGAGAAAGCATTGAGAATCATGGCCCCAAATTAAGCTGGCACCATTTCAAGATTATCAATTTCATTAAAACAATTGTTCCAACAGTGTGGCCTCTGGACCAGCCTCATCAGCATCCCTTGGTACTTGTTAGAAATGCAAATTGAATTTGCATACCTACTGAATCAGAAACTCTGGGCTAAGGCCCAGCAATCTGTATTCGGCTGGAAGATGCAGCCTTTTTATTCTAATTCTGAGAGAGAAGTGATGGAGCAGGCTATAGTTGTTCTCCAGCTTCCTATAACAGCTGCTTGCACACAGTAGCTCAGAGAGTAGGTGAAAGTTGCTATCATTTTGTTAGGGAGAATAAATATACACTGAAAACAATTACAGAACAAATAAAGTACAAGATAATGTCAAATGCTGTGAATATGTGGTGAATCCCTAAATAATCAATGAGTTTTCTGTATATGCTGCTATCAGTTGCCAGAATTTTAAAACTAAATTTTAGGATTTCCATCTTAAATTGGCAAATGAGATGTAGGAGTTTTCTTATGTCCCCACACAGTAGGGGGTCTGTTTTCCAGCAGAGTATAAATGTATAATTTTTAACTCAAAGAAATTTGTGGTATAAACACCATTCTAGTCATCAGAAACATATTTTAAAATAATTCAACTGAATAATACAGAAGGTATAAACCAGCCAGCTTTGATGGAGGGAAAATACAGCTGCGTTCTGCTTTTTCAGGGTTGTTTTTCTTGGTAACTGTTTTCCAGGTTTGGGCTGTGTTCTTAGGTAGGAGGAGGAATGTGAAAGCAAGGAATTTGTCTCACTTCTAACCTCTCTACGATGGAGGGCATCGTAGTCCAAAGAGGAAACCTGTCCCCAGAAAGCAATATATGTGCCCACTGTAATGCCAAGGCACAGCCAATAAGCAGACTTTGGACATGCTAGGAGAGGCAAGAAATGAATTTAAGTCATTAAATGCAAAAGTAGTTGAGGTAGAGATGACAAATGGGCACTTATGAAGAGAGAAAACTGAAACAATAGAAAGGCATGTGGACTGGGAAAGGGGGGAAAGGTTTCACAGAGGAGGAAGTGAATATCAAGAGGAAGAGTAGAAAATAACGAGGTGTGTGGAGAGATTGGGATTAGAGTTGGAATTGCCCATCTGGTGGGAAACTGGTTGTCCCAGTCTGCCCTTTGCTCTTTCCCCTAGGAATGCAAGACTTCAATTATCTCCACACCAACTGCTTCGAGATCACGCTGGAACTGAGTTGCGACAAATTTCCCCGCCAAGAGGAACTGCCGCGCGAGTGGCTAGGTAACCGGGAAGCCCTCGTCCAGTTCTTGGAGCAGGTAACACTGCACCTTTAATTTTATGGTTATGGAAAAAGAAGGTTTTCCCAACGGCAGCAAGGTTCTCTGTGTGGCTCAAGGCTCACTTTTGCTCTGACTCATCCATATATCTGGGCTGCTTCTACCAATGAAATGTATCCATTCAACATGACTGAGCAGAACTATCCATCAGGAACTATACTCTATGCTGGGGATCGTGCATATAAAGCAACAAACACCCCTGTCCCTATGGAGTTTATATTCTAGTGAGAAGAGATAGACAGACAATAAGCAGAATATAACATGCCAAATGCTAGGAAGAGGCCTTCCTGAGGAAGTGACATTTAGACAGACTTAAAGGAGGTAAGGGAAAGAACCATGCACATGTCTGGAGAAAAGGGGGTTCCTCGGTGCGGACACAAAAGTAACTGCAAGGCCAACAACAGCACTAAACGATGTGTGACATCACCAGTCACTAGGGAAAGGCACATCAAACCCACAGGGAGATACCACCTCACACCCAGTAGGACGGCTGCTTTAGAAAACAAACAAACAAACAATGGCAGGAAATAGCAAATGGCAAGGATGTGAAGAAATTGGAGCCCTTGTATATTGTTGGTAGAGATGTAAAATGGTGCAGCCGCTCTGAAAAACAGTACTACTGTTCCTCAAAACAATTAAAAATAGAACTACCACAGGAGCCAACAATCTGCTTCCGGGTAGATATCAAAAAACAACAACAAACAAACAAACACAAAACAAAACAAAAAACTGGAGGCAGGATCTTAAAGAGAGATATGTTCATAGCAGCAGCACCCATGAGAGCCAAGAGGTGGAAACAATCCAAGAGGCCAATGAGAGAAAAATGGATAAACAAAATATGGTATATACGTAAAATGGAATATTACCCTGCCTTAAAAAGAAAGAAATTCTGGCTGGAGCCAAGTTTGGCTCGGTGAAGCATCCTGGGTTGAATTCCTATCAAGGGCATGTAATTGGTTGCAGGCTCCTTTCTGGCCTTGGACAAGCTGCATGCAGGAGGCAACCAATGCATGTGTCTCTCTCACATTGATGTTTCTCTTTCTCTCTGTCCCTCCCTCTCTCTTCCACTCTCTCTAAAAATCAATGGAAAAATATTGTCAGATGAGGATTAATCAAAAGAAAAAAAAGAAGAAGAAGGGAATTCTGCCACATGCTACAACATAAACACACACTGTGGACATTACGCCAAGTGAAATAAGCCAATCACAAAAAGACAAATACCTTATTTAATTTACATGACATATCAAGAGTAGTCAAGCCTAGCTGGTTTGGTTTAGTGGATAGAGCATTGGCATGAGGGCTGAAGGGTCCTGGGTTCGATTCTGCTCCAGGGCACATGCCTGGGTTGCAGCCCAATCCCCAGTAGAGGGTATGCAGGAGGCAGCCGATCAATGATTCACTCTCATCTCTCTCTCTCTCTCTCTCTCTCTCTCTCTCTCTCTCTCTCTCTCTCTCTCTCTCTCTCTCTCTTTCCCTTCCACTCTGGAATTAATAAAAATATATGTGTGGGGTTTTTTTTTTAAAGAGTGGTCAATTTCATAGACAGAAAGTAGAATGGTAGTTGCCTGGGTGTAGAGAGAGAAGGAGATGGGTCTTATTTAGTGGGTATAAAGTGTCAGTTTTACAGGATGAAAAGGATCTGGAGATTGCTTGCACAACAATGTGAATGCATTTAACACTACTGAACTCTACACTTAAAATGGTTAAAATAAGAAATTGTATGTTGCCTGTATTTTATCACAATTTAAATTTTTATTCATTAAAAAAAAAAATACAAAGCCAGAAACACTATTGTGGCTGGAATAATCACAAGAGCAGGGGGGGAGGTAGCAGGAGATGAGACCGGTCAGCTACCTGAGGCTGTGGCTTTAGAGACCATCGTAAGAACTTCAGCTGCTGCTCTGAGTTGGGTTTGAGTATGACACGATTTGACATAAATTTAATGGGCTTGTTCTGATTGCTCTATTTAAAAGACGTTATCTGGTATAAGGAGAGGGGACAGAGAGCCCAGGTTACTAGGCTAATCTTTGTGAGTTAAATGCAAAAGTGTATGAGACAGGGCTGTGGGAACTCTAAAACACTGTACAATGTTTTATGATCATAGTTATACCATAAGTTTTGTGTGTGTGTGTTTTTGACAGGTACACCAAGGCATCAAGGGAATGGTGCTTGATGAGAATAACAATTATCTCCCTAATGCTGTCATATCTGTCAGTGGGATTAACCATGATGTCACCTCAGGTAGGTAGCCACTCCCTAATGGGGTGAGAAGAAAACTTTCACTCCCGCTTCTTCCGCATAATCAGGAGGCCAAACTGGAAGCCAGCGAGACTCACAGGGACATCAAGGCCATTGGGGGCCAGGGACTGGAGGAGGGAAAGGCAATAGAAATGGGAACAGTGAATTAAGAGGCAAGGACCAGGAAAATACCAATGTCATATCTCTCCCAGCATCAGGAGCCACTTCCTCCTATCACTGTGTAGGCGTGATTTCTGGATTTGCGGCTATTAATAGCTCTTTTACTGGTGTGAAAGGGGTAGAAAAAGACAGGACTGTAAACCGGATGCTTAGTCTTGTCCCTGACCCGAGTGGGTCACTACACCTCTATTCAGGACAGAGCTAGCAAGGTGCATCGTATAGACCTGGCGCAGGGCAAGATTGACAGAACCTTCTACATGGTACAGAACATCTCATGCACGATGGTGTTGCAAACTGCACCAGCCCCATTGGATCATGCACAGCTTGTAGGGGTTTTTGTTTTGTTTTGTTTTGTTTTGTTTTGTTTTGTTTTTAAAACAACACAGTGGCTACCAATGGTTAGGGGCAAGTGAGACCTGCCTGCCTCTCACAGCCTCAATACCAGCAAAGCTCAGCCACATCTACCACACCAAGCGGACACCTCACTGCTCAGACAGTCTGTTGAAACTGGATGAAATCTCAGCTTTAAGGAGATTACTCATGTTCTCTAAGACATCCCAACACACCTTCCATGAAAGGCTCATTCAGGACAAAGACAGTGTGATGCCCTAACAGCAGGATTCTTTAGGGAAGCATCAGACTGGGACCAGGACTGTTTGGAGATCAAACCTCCAGCATCCCTAAGAGCTTCAGGGCTTGCTAGACTCATACCTTATTCACGCCAAGGGTGGGGAATGCCTCTGAAACATTCTAGCCAATCGACAGATATTGAATACCTCTGACGTCACCGATAAGGGCCCTTTTCCAGTATCCATTATGCTGACCTAATAACTTGCTCATTTTACCTCTGGAGGGGGGAAAAACTAGCAACTAACTTATTGCTAGCAATCCTTATCCTACCTAGCAAAACATCTAGTGTTGATTAGAGATAAAGAGAGTTGAAGCCCTCGTAATAGCTACATCTGGAATTGGGCCTTTCTTTTTCCCCCCTTTTTTCTTTTTAAGGGGATGTTATGATAGTGCATAGCAGGGAAAGAACAGGATAGCTGGACCAACTGGAAAGGAGGAAGAAAACGAGGTTGATTTTGGTGCTCCCAGCAGGAGGAAGCACCTTTTGGACGAAGTCTATCAAATTATCCGTGGTGAAGGATATCTTGATCTGTGGGGTTTTAATTCAGTATTTTTTTAAATAATCATGTTGGTTCTGAGTGTATGATTGTTTATATGCAAACACGGTTTAATTTTTATTGGAATTGGGCCTTTCTGATACAATCCTAGCCACCACACCTGGATGTGAGCCCTTAGTTAAGAAAATGATAGCCCTGGGGTATGACTTAAACTGTCTAACATAAGCATAATAAGATACTGCTTTTACTAAAGTATATTGCAGACTTTTAACAGGGGCCAGAAACTTTCTCACTATTTAGGGACTGCCTCATTCTTAATTGCATTTATTTCTATTATTCATTGCCGTACACTTCCAAATAAATTTAAAGGCATGGTCACAATTGGTTCAAAAGAGATGTGAGGTCATTAGCCAAACTGCTACATCCCTGCCATAGAAAGACAGGCCTTCTTTTTGAATTTTATTTTTCTCTTTTAGAGGTGATGGAAGATGTATTGAAAATAGGATTCTCAAAGTCAGACCTTCAGTGGTCATTCCGTCCACTCGATGTAAGATGATTGTAGACATACAACACCACAGAGACGGCTGGCTGTCCACCCCAGGCCCCCACCCCGTGAGGCAGGCCGTGCACCGCACAGCTGGGGTGCTTCTCCAGCGCTCTCCTCAGTGTCCGCCTCAGGCCTCACGACTTCCCAACGCAGCTCATTTCCTTTGTGGGAGCTCCGTGGGTCCCAGCCGTCTTTGCTTCTGCCTAACTACATCTTCCTCCCAGCGACTTAACCCCAAACTTCCCATGCTTGTTTCTTCAGGCACACACTTCTTCACGGTGGCTTTTCCAGTATTGAAACAGAGGTCTCGTGCCTTCTCTTTACCAAGCAAAACCATTTACAGATATTCAAGCTTTCTCCCAGGGGCCCTTTCCTGGGCATGCGTTTTTTAAAAACACTGTATTCACAGGGCAGAGCATTGAGAAACTCCCGTTTCTCAGGAGCCAAGGCCCATGCTCCTAGGAGGTAAACCAGCCTATGATTGTTGTAGATCTTAACCAGTTTCGGTACACCATTCAGAAAAAGCAAGCTTATGGCTAAAACCCTCAGATCGTTTGTTTGTTTTCATTTAAAGACTAGATACCTGGGGCAGTTTCTAATCAGCAGACTGAGTTATATCCTTGTAATTTTAGGTGCTCACGGTGATTACTTCCGGCTGCTGCTTCCAGGCACCTACACTGTCACTGCCACGGCACCGGGGTTCGACCCAAAGACTGTGTCTGTGACTGTGGGTCCCGCGGAACCAAAACGGGTGAGTGAGGCTGGCTTTTACAGAACGAGTCACTTATCCAGAGTCACAAACAGCCAATTGCATGGCTCTACTCTTTGCTAATCTTTCCTCTTTCCCCATTAAAAAAAAAAAAAAAAAATCTCATTGCTCTCCTAGGCTAATTTTTCTCCTATCCCTTTGCTATTATATCCTTCCCCGCTTCCTTTGGACTTTTCCTTTTCCTCTGTTTAACATAGCACACTGGTTAAAAGTGCTGTCTGTTTCTAAATCCAGCTCATTTGTCCACTGACTGTAGACAGATCAGCCAATCGCTCTCATCCTCAGCATCTTTGTCCATAAACTGGTGACAATAGCACCGCCTTCACAAGAGACTGAAATGAGAACCTGCCTATAAAGCATGCAGTGCAGTGACCGACACATAGAAAGTACCCGGCAAATGTTAGTTCACAGCGTCCGGGAGGCCTGGGCCCAGATACACGGGTTCCCAGGGGTTGCATTCTTCTGTGCCATCAGCAAGAACTACCACCAGATGGCACTGTGCCCCCTTCTGGTGCCTCGTGTGCCCAGACGCCCTTCCTTCCCACAGGCCTCAGCAAGAAAAGAAACAGCTGACATTCGGCTTTCCATGGCTTGTTTTACATGAGAAGCAAAGAATTTTCATCTATAAGCCCAAATCTTTTGAGCTCTAGTCCTATTAGATTAGGATCTTAACGATAAATAGGCTCCGTGATCACTCCCATCTCCTGCATGTTGTAAATGACTTCCATGCAGAGGCAGGAAGCAGAGTAACTCTTCCACTGTAGCCTGTTCCCCGGTCCCAATCTCCCTTTTTTTCTTACGATAACCTCTGCTCCTCATCTACCCTAAGGTCAAATGACAGTTAGGCAGCTGTATGCATGTCTTGCAATAAAGCAAGTCTATTAGTTATGTTTATATGCATGCATTCAAGTCCTTCCGTTGATCTCTTACCCCTCCCCCAACCATCTCCTAACCAGTGGACACAAGACACTGGGGGAGTGAGGAGGGGCATGTGTGGGGACGGGAGTTGGGGGGGGATAGGGTAGGTGAGGCCGCAGGGAGGTCAATGGGGGAAAAAGGAGACATATGTACTACTATTTATAATTCTTTAAACAATAAAATAAAAATTTCACCCTAACCAGTTGGGCTCAGTGGATAGAGTGTTGGCCTGCGGACTCAAGGGTCCTGGGTTCGATTCCAGTCAGGGGCATGTACCTTGGTTGTGGGCACATACCCAGTGTGCAGGAGGCAGCTGAATCGGTGTTTCTCGCTCATCGATGTTTCTGACTCTCTATCCCTCTCCTTTTCTCTCTGTAAAAAAATCAATAAAATATATTTTTTTAAAAATAAAATAAAATAAAAATTTCAAAAAAAAATAAATAAATAAAGCAAGTCTATTCAGGGCCAAATACAACCAACTAAAAATCTTGAGTGACATGTTCTGCTTCAAAATATTTCAACTCCAGTGTCATATGGCCTTTAAATTAACATAATCCATTAATATATTATCTTTTGAATACAGTTCCCAGATACCATAACAACTAAGAACCCATTTATTGGTCTCAATAGAGTCTTCCCATTCTAAAGCGGAGAACCACTTGGCTGGGGGGGAAGGGAAGATACTTAACTGGATGGTTTTCATGTTACCATGGAGACCCTCTCAGATACCTCCCGGTGTCCAGGGTTCTCCCCTCTGCTTTCCCACAGCCTCTGGATGTCATGTTTCTTTCATTTCCCTCTTCCTTTCCTCATTTTGTTGTTTCTTGCTTCTCTTCTAAATTCCTGTATTACCGTAGTGCCATTGGTCCTGACTTCCCTGACTTTGGGGAAGTAGCAGAAAAGCTGACTGTGGATTTTTGTGAAAAGGGCAAGACATAATCTCCTGGAGAGCCCTCTTAGTCACAAGTGTTTCAACTGCCAGCTGGCTTCAGCCGCTCCAACTGTCCCAGGGAGGCTGAGGATGCGTCAGGGAAGGGTGGTTAGAACCCTGAGCCACTCCCTCTCCCTGTGCTTCCTGGGATGGTTCTCCAGCTCCCACACAGCCAGGATACCCCAGATAGTTGGTCAATACCATCATGATATCCGTGTACACAGCCAGCAGGCAAGTTTCCAGGTATTACTGGAAATTATGCATTAATTAATTTAAGAATCTATACTATGCCGAAACCGGTTTGGCTCAGTGGATAGAGCATTGGCTTGTGGACTGAAGGATCCTGGGTTTGATTCCTGTCAAGGACATGTACCTTGATTGCAGGTACATCCCCAGTCGGGGGTGTACAGGAGGCAGCTGATGGATGTTTCTCTCTCATCGATGTTTCTGACTCTCTGTCCCTCTCTCTTCCTCTCTGTAAAAAATCAATATATATATTAAAAAATCGTGTGTATATATATATATATATATATATATATCCATACTAACAACCTATCTCTTTTCTCCTCTCTGTGTTTCTCAACGATGATGGCAGAAAGTTGAGTTCTAAGGAAGTGAGTGCATGCCTGTGCGCGCCGCCTGTGACTCACACAGTCCGAGGAACAGGGGTTATTATGACACCTTCCGTCTTAGCTCTTGTCCTAGGCCACAGTATTGGTTTGAGTTGCAGGTATAGTTTTTTTTTCAAATACAGATAAAGTGAATGAATATGAAGTTCATCCAGATACACCTTATGTGCCACCTTAGGCAGCACTTTGGGGGAACACCACCAGCGCTGCTTTGGGTCGTTGCTGTGATAATTCTCCTTAGTGACCCCCTGCACCTGTGGTGAAACCGGGTCCAGACAGGTCTCCCCAATTTCAATATTAGGAAGTCCCCAAACGGCCTCCTCACCTCTCTTAGCGGCCTCTTCTTTTCTTCCAGGTTGACTTCCAACTCACGAGAAGCATCCCTCAGGGAACCGAGTCCCCAGCGCAGCACCCGGAGGCAGACTCTCACCAAAGCAAGTCCAGCCCCGGGTAGCCACGGGGGGGGGAGAGACAGAGGCGGCCGCGGCCCAGTCCCTGCCGGGAAGCTGCCGCGGCTCCCAGCGGGCCAGGGAGCACTTCAGAAAGGCTCTGGTCCTGCTCTCGGATCGCGTGGAGCATTCTTTCTATTTTATTATCTGAGACATATTTAACTATAAATATATCCAGAACAGTTTAGAATGATCTCCATCTGTTGACGCAGTAGTGCATAGATTCAGCGGTGTTCAGCAAGGTTTCCTGATTGTGAGTGAATGGAGTGGGTCCCGAAGGCTCCGTGCCAACCCATGCTGCACCCAGAGACCGGTTCTGGCTGGCTGGCCACTCTGTCAGCATCGTCTCTCAATGTCATAGGTCCTCAAGGGAGATTTCTGAATGAACAGCTGGAATGCTGAGATGCTTGGATCACCATTGATATTGTTCCCATAGCAAGATCGGGGGAGCAAATCTGAAATCCCAGAGGACCCTGTCAGCAATAGCCAGTAGTTTCTTGATAAGAAAAGGATTTCACAAAACAAAACAAACAAACAAAAAACACACTACCCATTTTTGTACATGGACATGTTAAACAATGCGCATATATATATATATATATATATATTTTTTTTTTTTTTTTAAATCCTCACCAGAGGATTTCTAGAGAGGGTAGAAGGGAAGGAGGAGGGGGGGGGGGAGAAAATAGAGACACAATGATTGGTTGCCTCCCACATACATCCCTGCTGAGTCTGGGGAACCTGCAACCAAGGTATGTGCCCTTGGCTGGGAATCGAACCCTCCATTCTTCGATCCACAGGACCACACTCTAACCACTGAGGGGAACTGTGCACCTTTCACACATTTTCTGGGTACGCAACTGGGAATGCAGATGTTCCTGTGGAATGGCTCTGCCCTGCCCCATGTCAGCAATACAGAGCACTCTCTTTAAAAAAACAAAAACAAAAACAAAACATATATTTTATTGATTTTTTACAGAGAGGGATAGAGAACTAGAAACATCAAGGAGAGAGAAACATCGATCAGCTGCCTCTTGCACACCCCCTACTGGGGATGTGCCCACCACCAAGGTACATGCCCTTGACCGGAATCGAACCTGGGACCTTTCAGTCTGCAGACTGACGCTCTATCCACTGAGCCAAACCGGTTTTGGCAATACCGAGCACTCTTGCTCATTTCCCGGAATGAACTCATTTGTTCTAAAAGTGCTGCTGAGCACAGCAGATGTTACTGACGATTGTGAAGGGACGTGTACTCTTTCATCACACACCATACAGCACACAAGTTCATAACCCGCACTGGGCGTGATGGGGTGCCAACCGCTGGCCCCAGAGTTTGGTAGGATTTTTTTTTTTTTTTTGCCCTGCACCCCATTTCAGGGCTCAGCCTCAATTATAAAAGCAGGTTCCAGTTTCCCCCACCCGCTTCACCACCCCCACCTCTCAGCCACTCCCCTGCCCAGCCCTAACCTCCAACTAACCCAGCCCTTGCTTAACATGGAGCAAGTTAGCTCCTCTCATCCAGTAGCCGTGCCCATCAGGAAACAGGTGCTCTGGCTGAGACCACCCGCCCCTGTCGGAGGCCATTCAAGAGGAGGATTAACACAGGACTTTATTCTTCTGTTTCTCAAGTAATCTCTCATCTCTGGTCAAAAGAGAAGCAGACGAAGATGTATCTTTCCTCATTGGGAAAGGCATTCCTCAGGCCATTCACCCTTTCTCTACATTTTTTTTTTCTTCCTTCCTTGTGGAAATGCACCATGGGCATGGATTTAGTGCGCAGGTGGGGTCTGGGCGGCCAGTCCCAACTGGGGTTGAGTGGAAGGGCCACAGGCAGTAAGTTGGCCGGCCCTGCACCCAATCAGGGTGGGGGGCCAATAGGTGACTGGGCCAGCTCAGGGGAGGGGCCAGGTCTGGGGCCAATCAGAGCCTCAGTGCACATCAAAGCAATTGGTCTTCCTGGTCATTTCAGTTGTTCCCATGTTCCGGTAGCTTGGCTTTCATATACCGTGTTTCCCAGAAAATAAGACATCCTCTGAAAATAAGACCTAGCACATGGAAGACCTTGCAACTTTGGGAGAAAAAAATTAATATAAGACACTGTCTTATTTTCGGGGAAACAGGGTATAAAGTTAAGAAAGATTTATCTGAAGAGGTGATATTCTGGCTGAGATGCAAAGGCTAAGAAAAAGGAAGACTATCAAAGAATAGGAATAAAAGTTCCAGGCACGAAGCTCAGAGCAAAGGAGGCCAAGAAAGCAGAGTGTCCAGGCTGTGGGTTCTGGGACCCCAAGCTCACCCAGCAGATTTCTTGGGCCCGGGCTCCATCACCCCCCACAGTTCCCAGACCAGGGGGCTCTTCCGGCCTCCGTGCCTTCGCTTATGCAGCTCCCTCCATCTGGAATGCGCTTCCTCAGCCTTCAGGTCCCAGCCAGGCTTGACCTCCACTGGAAAATCTTCCCCGAGTCCCTTGGGGCTCACCCCACAATCTGTGGCCATCTTGGTCAGTCGGTCACATCCATTTTCTCAAAGATGCTCTCACGGGGTGGTGAGGTCTTGGGGGTGCTGGGCTTGCCTCTGTACCCCAGTGCCTGGCACAGGTAGGTGCTCAGTAAGGTCAGAAGGAAGGAAGGGAGGGAGGAAAGGAAGCAAAGAAATATCTCTTCTAAGATTGGAGACTATCTGGACCCTGAGCACCTGGCCCAGGCCCCGGGCACGGAACAAAGCCCGCTCCCTTCCTGGGAGAAAGGCTTCCCTCCTCTGAAATCCAGGACCTGAGGGCTGACCTGGAGAGGGAGGGGGCACTTCAGAGGGTTTCCACACCCAGTCCTTTCTGCAAACAGTGCCTTCCTTGCCTGATAGCCATGAAATAAACTAAGCTGCTTGGGGCAAAGTGGTGCGGTGGGTGTCCGTGGAGGGCGCCTGGGAGAGGGCACCGGAGAGCCCTTTCCCCTGTAGCTCTGGGTCGGTTGGGTCGCCGCTTGCTTCCACTTGAGCCTGGGCTCCAGCTCCAGCTGCCTGTTGCCATTGCGAGCCGGCTCCGAGGCCGTCTCCATCCCCGCAGGCCTGAGTCAGCTGCCCATTTGTGGGCGAGGTATCCTCTTCTGTCTGAGTGGCGCACCTTGCCAGACAGGGTGTCCCCACAGCGTGTGGAGGACAGAGCAGAGGACTCTGCTTACAGGTCCTGCCCACCAGGTCCCAGCCTGTGCCTCGAAGGGACCTGTGGCGATAGAGCGGCGGCAGTCACAGATGCACAGAGGGCCCCGGAGCCTCCTGTGAACATGGGAGACCACACACATCCGCGGCAGAGACCGCCCCGATTCCCAGTCCAGCTCTGCTCCATCTCGGCTGAGGGGAGCCCCTTCGGGTTCTGACCTGGGACATGGGGATGGAATGTGGAGCTGGCTCCCAGTGGGCAGGGGCTGGAGCCCCTGCCTCCTCCCAAGGCAGGCAGCTGGGCTGGGCTGGGCTGGGCTGAGTAAGAGGGAAGTTGTAGGATGGCTCTGGAGCCAGATGGGCATCCAGTAGTTGCTCTGGAAGGCCTGTCCTGCCTAACCACCCCGCAGACCGGTCCCCTCCAGTGGCCACAGAGCTCAGGCTGAGCCCCCCAGGAGCTGGGGCAACCCCCCCCCCATCCCACCTGCACTGCCAACCCCACCCCTACTCCCTGTCTGAGGACCCTGGGGCTGAAGGCAGGACCTGGGGAACAGGTGAACGTCTGGGGCCTGGGCCCAGCAGGTCCCTGGAGCTACAGGGAAGCACTGAGGGTGCCCTGTGCTGACTGGGGGTCCAGGGGATGCGACATGCTGCCATGGGGGCAGAGGGCAGAGGTCACAGGTCAAGGGGACAGAGGCTCTGGGCAGCCCAGCCTCCCATTTTCCTCTCTGTCCTTTTCCAGCTGTGTACCCTCAAGAGGAAGAAGCCCCTCGCCCTCTCTGTGCTGCCTGTAGCTTCACCTGTGTGCAGGTGCACAGCGGGAGGGCGGGGCCACCCGGAGAACTGAGAGGAGCCCATAGTCGGGCAGAGCCACGCGATTGGCCAGAGATACCCACGTGATCAGGAGGCAGGGCTGCGTGATTGGCTGGAAGTGTAGGCATCATCAGGGGGCGGGGCACGAGGACAAGTGGAGGTGAGTTCCTGATAAGGGGTGAGGCTATATATCTGGAGGTGTGTACTTAATCAGGAGGCGGGGGCCCAACATTGGCCAGAAGGGCACACAAGTGACTATGGTGTGGGCTTCTGTGAGGGTAGAGGTGGAGTCAGGTGAGGATGGCGGGAGCAAAGGAGGAAAACAGCAATTCCCAAGAAAATGAAATATAGAATTCCCATGTGGTCTGGCCATTCCATTTCTGGGTACATACACTGTGGACGAAAGGGGCCACATACTGGAAGCCAATCATTGTTTTAATAATTGAGTGCTGTGGACAGGGAATTCGGAGGGCTGGTCAACCTTAATTACTCTAAAGGGGTATGAGGTAATTACTAGATATTGTTAGTTGAAGCAGCCCCCACTTATTAGTCCTAAATTCACTGATTAGCTTTTATTGGAGTTTCCTGCCTAGGGGATATGGGTGTATCCTATAATTTTAATCTTTATAAAAGGGATGGAAAAGCCAGAGTGAGGTGTAGTCCTCCCACTAGAGTTGGACTGTTCCTTGACCCCCATTTCCCAAATTAATGCTTTTCTAGTCTCTTTTCATTTGTGTGCAGCCTTCCCCAGAACGCAAACCCTGAACCCGGAATCCTGAATCATGTTGGACGTGAAAGGGGTTCCCATAGCCACGCGTTGACCTGACAAGCTCAGGGAAGGCCTGCATGGCAGTCTTGCAAACTCAAAGACCTAAAGTTACCATAAAGGATGCTTTGAAATGAAACCTTAACTGAAAGCAGTTATGGTGGGTAGTTACATCCTAGACTGGTATCTTCACTGACCAGGTCAACATTTACCCTTAACTGAGCCTATCTGTCTTTTTGCATCTGTTAAAGAAACAAAACAAAACAAAAC